GACCCCTGGTTTATCATATTACGTTGACAAATTAAACGCAGTACTTCTTCATAACATGAATTTTGATGAATTTGACTATTATTATATGACATTTATTGTAATAACAAACAGCTTTAGGAACTTCATATTAAATGAAAAAACAGGCCCACGTGGCATCTATGAGTAGTGTGGTCATAAAATCTATTATTTTAATTTCGCATATAAATTGACTACTTCATAAACTAGAGTAATTTTTTCTACAATTTTTCTCCGCGATAGCAATGCTCAAACGTATGAACACAAAGACCAAATGATTAATATGAACAGCAGCGCAATTTCAACAAAACACTGGTGAAAGAATTGTATCAAATGTACTATGAACTGGTAAAATAATTCTACCTGATGTTATATCAAGGTGAGCTCGTGAAATATGACAACGAGCCAAGTTTTAGTTAAATTATGGGGCCCCTATGTACTTTGAAACTGAAAACGGATATTTCCCCATTGTGATCTCTTTCAGTTTTGATTACTGAAAATTAGGAATCTATTGGTCGAATGCTTTGGCAAAAAACATTTTTTTCACAGCAAACACAAAAATTACAATCCATGGGTCCATTTTTCGTCCAATAAACAATTATAGATATATGAAATATGTGACGTTTCGTCATATTTGTTAATTCACGTCATTGCCTGTTGAATTCCAGCTGGCGCATTGTAATTTTCGGGATCCTAGAGTAACATTATTTACCTCAAACAGAACAAACGTATATACTTTGTTGACCCGATTAATTAATATATATCCAATTGCCATCTGTGCAAAGTAAATTGTTTGTCCAACCTGTTGATGCCATCCGCTCGTAATTAATAAACGATAGCAAACGGTTATTCATTTTACTCTGTCAGTGTACATCATGATATATATTGCAGAGCAGTATTTTACATTTACATGCTAATGTCGTTTGTCGCGTGATCCAAAAGTTAGAAGTATTTTAAATAGAGATACGTGGTTCCAGGAAATGGTCGTATCATTGAGCTGGCAGAAATATGAACTTATTTGGCTCTGACTTTTTTTTAGTTGCTTAACTTTCTCTGATATTTGTATTATCAATGATCATGACAAAATTGCTCACAACATGCGCCCTATAATGCGATGGCACGGCCTTATCGTCCGGCCTTACGGCTTTATGGTCCGTAAAATATACGGTACCACAGACAACTCAATAACGACCCATATTTTACACAGTGTTATCATTGTAGTATGAGATGTGATCACGGAACCACAACACGGTGCGCAATTTTTAATTTTGAGAACGTCATCACATAAAACTTCGAAGTGTAAAACGAATCCTTTAGAGCCAACAGATATTTTCGAAATGATAAAAGTAAATAAATAAATAAAATAGACTTTTTTAGCGACAGAAAAGCAAATTGGTCCAGCAGTGAAAAAAAAGCGCTTTTTCACAACAACAACACAATAAAAAAACGACCAATAGGTCAACTTCGTGTCCAACAATGATTGGGTATAACTCTCATTTTATGAGTTGTTGCACAATATCGCTCCTATATCAGGACAAACAATTACTGAGTTATCGTGGTTTGATTCAGCATAGTCCATTTTGTGTTCAATAAATCGTTAGCGAGAAGGTAGGATAGGAACAATAGTTGTCGCTAGACAATCGCCTCAAACTACCACGCTCTAAAACCTAACTAAAAGTAACAAATATTCAAATGAAATTTTTAACGCGTTAAATATTAATCGACTCAAAATTGTTCTTGGAGCAAAGAAATTGAAAATGCCGATTTTGATATCCTTACGCTCCACACTGATCAAAATATTCTGATTCAACAGGTCTCAACTTACAATTACATTTAATAATAACGATTATCTATATTCTATACTAATTTATTCTATTACGATTAGATCAAATGCTTTGTCGAGTGCACTAAACTTTTTTAAACTTAATTTATTTAGCGGCGGGTGTACAAAGATAAACCGAAAACAAAGTAACGTATAGCCCTACAATTTTCTCACATCTGATTGTATTACAATTCATCATAAGACTTGCCGATTACTAATTCTATGAAATAGAAATACTTGTATAAATTATAACGCCTATAGATTTCTATGAATTTAAAATTGTTCTATCTTTGTTTACAAGCTGATATTTTTCAGAAGAAAACTCGGGAACTGGTTTGTTTTACACAATCAATACTATGATTGTAAAAGACCTTACTAGGAAAGCTTGTTCAATCTAAAATTCAGTTCCTATCAATTAAATACAGTCCATCGGAGCTATAGTTTGAGAAACTATGTGTGAACAAAGCTACTGAACTTGGAAGGAAGTTTAATTGACCAAACTGCCCGCGGCATTTTATTGTATAATCACAGCTATTTAAGTTTAGAAAAATTGGGCTGCCATTAAAGTATGAAGGCGACAAATGTTTACTTCAATTATAATTGAAAATAAATATTGATATTGCTTTCTAATTGAGATACATCGGAAATTTATTTATAATCATGAAAGATGCAGATATTTTGACGTTTAACATGTCATCCTTAACAATTGTGAAGCTACTCGATAAACCAGCGTTTTCAATGATGGGTTACAGTATTAAATTGAGTGGTAATCTTAAGAGCAAATAAGAACTCATTTTTAACATCTGGGCAAACTAATTAATATGAAATAACCCTGCACACACACCAACAGTCTAGAAAAGTTGGTCCGAAATAAAAGGAATCACGACGCTAAGGTCTATAGCGGTATGTGATGGATATATTTGAATTTATATAAAACAATATTTATTCTATACTTACATTTTTTATTTTCTACTTTCCTATACAGGTATATCAGATGATAAATGGATGGTACAAAATTTGCAAAAGCTAGTTTAAATTATTAGCTTTTTTTTTTTAAATAAGCATTTTGTGATTATAGAATCGCTCCGATTAGTAGTAGGTCGGCAAAATGAGGCTGCTTCCTCCCTCAGAATACAATGAAAAGAATATCCTATATTTTGCTGTACAGTATTTGAAATGGCTTCATTCCTGTTATTCAAAACATCAGTATATCTCATCAGTGCTATACTACCGGTTTTTGGTGTTTGTGGTGATGTCGTGGAAATACCCCAAAAGTATCATCATATACTAAAAGATTGGAGAGAATTTATAATAAGAAGTCGCGTATACAAATTTATTCAATGATTTCAGTGCGAATTTCATTCAAAATTGATTCTTTTATAAGTTAAGAAGAGCTTTGTGTCCTAATAGTCCCTCTTAATAATTTATGCATAAATTGAAACCTCAATATCACTTGTTACTGTGTGATAAGCATGTGGCCTTTCTGAATAAGTAATTGTTATCTTGCTTTGAGGTAACGAATGTGAAAAGAAAAATATGACAGTATGTCAGCATATGTATATCGATACTGCATCATAACTGAAAAGTCAAGACCATTTTGGGTTCTTTTCAACAAGAAATACTGTTACAAATTAAAACTCTCATTCGAAAGATATTTATGACATTTGCAATGGCCCTTTTCAAACTTTTGCCCAAAACCCTGTGATTTTTGTTATTAGTTTTTGTACTCTGAACTTGAAAACATGCAAATTGGAATTTGATGATAAGGTGCATTATGTTGATAACAACTGAAATGTGAACAAAACATAGATGAAGAACAACTCACTAAAAACCCTGAAAAATTCAGAAAAAACGAACTATTTTTGTGATTTTATAAATAAATTTATTGTTTCAAAAACGCTATTACACAATTTCTTTTATACAAGGCTGTTTTTGGCATGCGATATTTTAGAATACTGTATGGGTTTGTTTACATTGTACGAACGGACAACGTTAGAAAATTAAGTTGGCACATTCACTTCCAGATTCTGAGACGGCGTTGGTTGTTCTGAGTTACCTGCGTGTAGAGATAAACGAGGTGAATAAATTGAAGAGCTATATACTTTGCGCTTGAGTTAGATCTAGGTAAACTAAAATTGTAGTATTCAAATGTTTTCCTATTAATATTTAATCAGGTACATAGCGGAAATTTGTAGCCATATTGTCAGGCTCTCGGTCTCCCTCCGGCGGAAGCAAGAGAGGACAAATAACATTGTTCGTGTTGACAACAATGATGCTGTTTTGATTGTCTGATTCAGATTAAGTATCTTCAAAATTGTATTGTGGGGTATTTTTGCAAAGGTATAGTACATCATTACCCAAACGTTATCTGCATTATGTTTTGCCAAACGATTTGTAAGTATGATTGGCTCAATCCTTATCTGCAATAATTCAAAATATAAAAATTGGGAGAGGAAACGAGTAAATACAATTCCAATAGGTCGAAGAAAAATGATAAAATTGTTAATTGATATAAAATCCACATGTTGGAGTATTGAGATTAACAGCAAGTCTATTAAGCATACAATGCTACCAAAGTTGGCATTTGAGAATGTTTGGTTCTACGACAAATCCAGGGAAAGAGTTAATAAAATGGATTTTATATTCACTCTTTGACCTAAATTAGACACCGAACCATACTCGATTTCAAAACTAAAATAAACAACGTAAAATGTACGGTATTGAGTCCCAGATTTATCCATAATTCGGACAATATAGCTAAGTCAGGCCCCTTAAACATCACTCCGTACCAATGTGTAGGCTAATTAGCTGATATTGGATGCCAATAGTTTTGCAGCCACGATCGTAAAACTGTTTAATGATGCAGAAATGAGCTATATATAATATTAATATATATACTTGACTATCTTAACTTTACGAAGTAATAAATACAAATAGAATCACTTTTATCGGTAACAGCAGAAGTTCTCCAGATCGATGGCGGACGCTGACCAGTGGGTGTATTCGATTGTACATCGCTTCTTGTGATGGTGAATTTTGGTCTGTGGCAAATGACATATTTTGCAAAAATGTTCAAATAATATTATCAATTTTTATTCTGATACATCATCAACCTAATAGCCAATGTTATGCTGTAGTTGAATGAAATTTATTAGAATCTTACTTGGAAATTCCTTCACTCGACATGACAGCTTGTGAAGTGTTTTCTTCTGGATTAAATAATATTGTGTAGCATCGTGGTCCAAACATACAAAACAACACTGTACAGGCACTAAGACTCAAACATATAGATACCGTCATGAGCTGTGAAAAAACAAAATTAATAAGAATCACGATAGATTTATAGTGTGTGACTAAGTTTAACCAATCCTCGCCCAAAAGTGAGAACAGTCATTTGCGATAATATCCTTTGTTGGATATTACCGTGATTTCGACTACATACGTGTACTGTTTTGAGTGTTTTATATTACTATAGCTTATTCCCAACACGTTGCTTCCAATCAGTTGGGGACGCGAAAACGTACTGTTGCCTCCAGCAAAGACTTGAGGGTGAAAAATCGCCTCATTCGCCTGTACATTGTAGCCTACTGAGTTTGCTTGAACATATAATTCACATGTCATTGCCTGTTACGTTTGTTGGGACCCTCTTGGATCAGTTTGTCCGAACTAGAGAAAATGCAGTGAATATGATAGGATTTAGAGCTGGCCAATGGCTAATAAAACTATTCTTGTGGACAAAATGTTCTGATAGTTTGTAGATTTTCAAAGGAATACTAAGAGATTTAACAAAAGATCCCAAGTTCTAGTGTAACACTCAAAGACAATATTGCCACTTCCCAAATTAACTGTTAAAGAGTAGTAATGTGCTGCAAATTGTTTTTGGTTAAATTACTTAATTATATAATATTTACCTTTACTCCGTAATTTTCTTCATTTGTAATAAAGATTGGAACAAATGCAAGCCATATAACACATGTTGTATACATTGTAAATCCTGTTAAAGCCAGTATTTCATTACGTAAAGATAATTGCTGTCATTTCAAAGAAAAAGAATTACACTTGATGCTATATTTCATGACGTTACCTTTACTGGTGCCTAGTCTCATTTCAGAGAAAAATTATTTTGTCAAATTTCGTTTTTACATGAAGTTTTTACAAACACTGGAGTGTAGTGAACCAAATGACAAGACTTTTTGGGGGGTCATCGCGCCAAATACATTCAAGTATTTATTATTATAATACGTTTGAATTTTTTTTAATACATTATAAAATTGTAGTTTCACATATACGTCTGCATTATTTCTATTCAATTTTACATTTTTGTTACTTTCATCCACCGCCAACGATTGATGCTGTTTCTGTGTTAAATATTTTGATTATAGGACTTGCCATTTACCTATCTCTGGTTATTTTATAGCGAGTAGCAATGGCTTACTCACTGGTTGGGTGAGCGCTTTTGTAACTTTGCAGTAGCAATAACCGGTAGTCCCCCAGCGTTCTAAATTACTCACCAATCAGTTGAGCTTCGTTAAATCCTGTCGGAACATTACGATTTGCTGTTGCCAGAATAGTACATATTATAATCAGCAGGAAAGGATAAATGAGTCCAATCAATATTGACGGTTGCACTATGCTTTGACAAGCTTTAAATACAATTTCATTGTCACTACTGTGGTGTAGTTGAGGTTGGGGTGGGCTGGTGAGCAACCAAATTATCAAAACAAATGCTTGAACAAGGACGATCAGGCATGTCAAGAAGATTTGAGACTCGGGTTGCAGCAGCAGCTTCACCTATTCAAAAAATAAATAAATAAATAGTCGTTAAAGACGACGTCTCACCAATCCATTTTATGTATTTTTAATCTCGGGGTTAATTTGAAATAGTTTCAACCTTGCGCCATTTTTTGAAAGATCTATCTTAAACTTCAATCGACGAGGCGATTTTGGCTGTCGTGGCATTGACTGACGTACAAGGTGTTGACGTAAACATCGCGTTTTACACTGGAATTCATTGATTACAAGTGTGTGTTTTCTCTCATAGGTGCTTTTGTCTCTTATCAGTTCGTCTAACTGCCAGTGGGCTGTTTAGAATTAAGACGAACAGGGGGTTGTCGCTTAGACTTGCTGCAACTGGGTATGTTATGTATTTTGAATAATAGCTTTAACTAATATTTCGCGGTTTAATGTTTCTATTGTTCGCAATTTTAAAAATTAAGTATGCTCTTTTGATACCCCATGGGCTGTTTCTTAACAATAATAGACCTCTACTTTGTGATATTCACCACTTTCAAAATCTATGTTGCGAAGTCGTTAACATGTAGAAATATGGCAATTCTTCAGTCATTTTCAGAGTCGAATGAAGTTGAGAGCGAAAAGTGGTTGATCGCCGCCTTATTGGCGACGAAATTTGTTCACAATCTACGATAGCACTTAGTTGTATGTAAATCATTAACGTAACAGTATGTTCATAACTTCAGTGCTGGTGATTTGATTAACAGCTTTAGTGCAAATGAAATCTGGTATCTTGTATCATCGTGTTGAATATTGGCAATCTAACGTTTATATCCTAAAGATATAATATGACGAAAAAGAATATGGACACCAACCACCTGGTCTCTATACTTAACAATTCAAATGAAGGCCTATTATGGATACAAGCGGGCATATTTCCACCTGATGTCTATACCTCAATCTGGTTAGTATCCCGATATAATATTAACATACGGTATTTTGACGTTCATATACCCTACATGCAAATAAAATAAGAGGTAATTAGGTCATTGGCTGAAACACATCAATGATTATATGAAATTAATTCTAATCAAAACAAATCGTATCAGTGTTGTTGTGTCGGTTGACGCATTGACCTAACTGTGACTGCCTTCCAGGTTTTGAATTTTCTCTTGCATGCTTTGAAATACCCAAAATAATCATACGTTCTAAGCTACCTTTGGTGTTAAGATTTTTGATCTGAAAACGATGACAACTCTCAGTGTTTTGGTGAGCAACGCAGCATACATCATTGTAGGTCCTATCGAAATCACAATGCGTGAATATGCACATAGAATAGTTGTTGGTGGCAACATGATTGTCCAACAATTTGTCAGAGTGAGTAAAATTCCAAAGAGTACATAAAAACAAAGTTCCTGAAAATAAACATAAGCATGTTCTATAATGAATTAATGGGGCTCCAGAAGTATGCGCACCAAGATGTCGCACAGCCTGAATCCTAACCGGTACACACATACTATGTTCAGGCTGTGCGTCATCTTGGTGCGCATACTTCTAGAGCAGGGGTCACCAAACTACGGCCCGCGGGCCGGATCCGGCCCGCGGCGTCATTTCATCCGGCCCGCAATAACACGCAAAAATGGCTAAATTTTTTCCAAGGAAGATTACCCCGAGCATCGTCTTCCTTGTTTATTTCGTAACATTGACCAATCAGCAAGATGCAAAAAAACGTGACGTAATAAAAAGCCTCTTCGCATCTTAGCTCAGATAACTTTTGTCATCCTGACAGATTTCCAGTCGTGGTTGTAAACAATAATTCGTTTTTGCGACTTTGAATGCCATTCGTTAGTTTTTGATTGTGTTTCGGAAATTTAAGTATGAATCAAATAAGTCAATTATCATTTGCATCCTTAGGAGTTGTAGTTTTAATAGTAGTAATAAAAAATTAGTCTAGAAATAGCTGTGAAAAATAGGCTCAAATTCTCCACCGGTACGCAACGTTTTCTGCGAAAGATGCACTTGTACACTCGTTGCGCGTGCTTTCGACGAAACTGTTTACGTTTCTTGTGCTAAAATAAATGTTGAATGTGCATTTTGCGCTAACAGTACTATAATCCCTCGCGTACTGCTCCAATTTCATAAGTCACACTAACTTTTGTAGGCCTACTGCTCAAATGCGGATATTCATGTAGTATGTTACAAAAAAAAATCCGATTTAAATAAAAACTGCGCCAGTGGATAGATCTGAGTGAAAATAGAAAACAGTACCAAGTTTATAAAAAACGGTCAAGAAATAACCGAGATATCGGAATTTTAGTACCGCCCGACAGGGCAATTATTTTCATAAGGATTGTATTACTTTTTGAGAACTGTAATAAATATGAAAAAATAACACATGTCAATCACTAATATTGAGACTATTTCGGGATTTTATTCTGGCAACGGTCATTGAAACCGCCGAAAAATCGTCGCAAATAAACGCTGGAGTTGTGCATGATAGTTTAATTTGCACTACGTATAAAAGGGGGGAGGCGGAATTTTTAAAAGCGTCGAAAGCTGAGAAAAGTGTGCGCTAATGAAAAAATCAAATACCAGGTATGTTGTTTATTTTATCTAAATTATGTCAAAATTTCATGGAATTCCAAGCTACAGCAGGCAGTCCGTAGTCGTTTTTAGCAGTAGCAGTATTTCAACACGGCGTAACAGTACTTAGCAGACGTGAAGCGTACATTATTTTGGCGCGAAATAGCCGATTTTGTAACATTCCTAATTCATGACAGCAACGTTTTGCTAACAGCTAAACTCAGGATAGTTGTCTAGATATAGAAATCTTGTATATTTGTTTTCCTATGATGTTTTTGATCTATATTCTGCGATATAGATAGAATTAAATATTCAAGTCTTCAGAAATGTAGAATATATATTGTTAAATATATTGGATGAATTTCCCAACTTTTGTGAATTTATTTTATTGCATTGACAAAAATATTCATCCGGCCCGTTTCAACCCAGTTTGAGTCATACCCGGCCCGCGGTCAAAAAAGTTTGGTGACTCCTGTTCTAGAGGTCCGAATTAATGCATTAGCAAAGAAATGAATTTTCAATTTTGGATGTTAACTTCAACGCTACAAATTATATACTTTTTTTTTCATTTAAAATTCGTTTGTCTTTCTTGGTGCTTTCTGAGATATTACATAAATATCATTACATAGCGTAACTGCCTGTCATTTTTTATCATTCCTTTTGTATGTATTTAACTGGTATCGTGCTTATTTTCAGTTCAATACATACCTTTCCCGACGCTTTGACGATAGGGCAATCTTTGTTTATAACATATATTACGGACACGAATAATAAACATACTATTCCTATGCTTCCAAGTATAAGTGTAGCAATGGAGTATGACTCTTCGTAAGTGAGATATCTGCAAAGAGATAATATTGAAGTTGCTTTTCAACGAACTTAATAACAGCAACAGACCGGGTTGCCATACATGGTTGTCCAGCACTAATAATAAAGTTGTAGTATTACTAGGTTGAAAGCATAGTTGGCGGTATCGCTCCATTTCTGAACTATCTAAATTCTAAACGGACCAAATAAACGAAATAGCGTTATTGAACTGTTTCTGTACCAAATGTTTGTTTGGTTAATCTTTTTGTAGGTTTCGGGTCGCAAAATGCATTGGAACTGAATGAATATTTATGTGAAAATATTTTAAATTTCGACATAAAATAGATAATATTCAGATAAATGATATTCAACACGAATTAGAATACGCATAAACGCTTCAACGCATGCTTCGTTACTAAGACGTAGATCAAAGGCAATACAATACCACGGATTGTGATGTGCTACTATCAACTTTTACATGAACATGATAATAAAATCGATTAACGTGACATGAATTAATATTTACTCTCGTGCATATTTTCTCTATATCAGGCCTATCACGAATAAAAATCTTGGCTAATACATCTTGCTATTACTATTAAACTCATACTAATTAACTGTAGTTCTTTATTGCACATATTTGCCTTTATCAGCAGGTCAATCATATTCTAATATTACTCAATACGTAAACTTAAGAAGCAGTATGTGATACCAAAATAGCCATAGCATGAAGGTTGATTCTTGTAATATGTATAGTATGACCTCTCATTTGCTACCGATGTAAAGTGTACGTACATGATCTCTGCTGGTTCACAATCTGTGAAATTTTTGTTCGGTCTCATGCCTTGGTTACATTTTCTACATTCGGTACCATTTGCAACAAACTCATGAGAGTAACACGTCTGACACTTCCAACAGCAATCCTGCAAAATGTTTCAAAAAAATAACTGATGATTCTGAGAAATTCCAATACGACGTAAAATATGTCCATAATTTTAACTATTTCACAACAAAATTTCCCGATACCTTCGCGCCAAATGTTATTTTTGCCTCATTGGGAAGACATTGTCTGGAGCAGAAAGAACCTTGACTCGTTACTTTGCTCGCAAGTGGCTCGAACCATTCAATTTCTAAAACAAATGGGTCAAGTTTATTTAGCGTACCCTTGAAAATAGTTTGGAAAAATGAAGATAGAGCAATTTTTTCACCTTGCCCGTGAATATTTCCAACTTTGATCCATTTCGACTCTTCATCTCCATTTCTCGCGTAGACGTCTTTCCGATAGTTATAAATATCGTAATGTGAGTGAGCATCTTGGTTGTCATCAAATGTGAATATATCTCCATTGATTCCTATTTGTAATCAGAATTAAAAAAATAGGCTTTTTTATTCATTGCTTCAGCTGATCCGATATAAAATATATAATTTTGCCTAAATTTTGGGTCACCTTCTATATCCTTGAGTAAACTCTCAAATAATAGAAGAGCTGCCATTTACTATTTATAGTTATTAAATACAATTTATATGTTATACCTTGTATAGTTATATTTTTTAGCATTTTGTATGTGCTTTTCGCGAGTTCGGTACCACCACGCATTTTATTCATTTCTTCACATATTCCTGATTTGCCTCCACATAAAGATTTATGTACTTCGTTTATAGCATAAACAAAAGACAACAAAGCATTGGCAACTTTTTCAGTATATGGAAACTCCACAAATGTGTCTGGATTGATTCGTTCATCAGGAGAACATTTGCGAATCCCTCGATCAGGCAGCTCTGAAATGCATCATATATGTGCAATAAGCAAATAAAAATGTTAGGGCAGTTTAATAAAATCTCGTGTACCATGTTTTAATATTTACATATTTCGTTAAGTTTATAGTCCGCTTTCAGAACGTTTGTCGATGTTGTGGATGGTTAGGTAAAGCTAGGTAACTTTTTGGTGCGCGGATCCCTGGTTGTGAATCTTATATCAACGGATCCTCCTTCTATGCAGTGTCAATTTCCGTGCTTAACCAACGAGGGAGGATAATGTTTCATTTACAAAACAAATGACATTAATATGATGATGAATGAGGTTGGTTTTCACTGCATAATTTATCAATTCTTGTAGCAATTTGTGACAAGCAAACTCTTTGGTCCGACTCTACTGCGACAACTCAATAAAGTTATTACATTTCCGTTGACAAAATAAAACTCTTCCGAAAGTCCGAATCAATACATACTAACGTTAAATAAAGGTAGGCTGACGGCAATTCGATATGAATATTATCTATTTGCACCCCGACATCTGGACTGTCGGTACTAATGGAACACGTGAAACTAATTTGATTGTGTATCCCTAGTACCGTCTCGCACGATAACTTCATTTCGTTTCACGCCTCTTCCTTGCAGAAACGCTGACGGTCTTAAATGACCTTAGCAAAGTCGCACAAGTTGTCATGTCTATGTAACGATGGATATATATACGTAACAATGTATAAGTTCGGGGTCCCCGGACCAAGGTTTGGACAACACCGAGTTAAAATATCTGATGATTATTTTGAATGTTGTCTTACCAATATCGAGCATGCAATTTTTTCGTTCGCTGATATATTTCGCAAACCATGGATTTCGATTTGAATTCTGTAACAATGTTAGGTTAGTAAAATAGTTTCGTAATCCTCGAACCGATTTTGTTTCAGGGGCGAATCCGACAGTACCTAAACAAAAACAAGCACATGTACCAGTAATCAGCAATTTATTTTCCACTATACTAAAATAGGTACTCCCGAAGTATGTGTACCGAGATGGCGCACAATCTGAACCCTACACATACAATGTTCAGGCTGTGCGCCATCTTGGTACACATACTTCGGGAGCGCCTCAAAGTACACATTGTGAATACACAATACCAAAAAAAAGAAGTAATATGGCACTCCAGGGTGAAGGGACGCGCGAGACACGAAGACTGGTTATCGAGTAGTGACACCCATTACACGAGTCTAACATAAGTAATAGATAAATAACAGTAATATATAAATCAAACAATAATTGTTAAAACAAGTTTACGTCAAAGTAAATCGAGGCGATGGATAAACAATAATCAATAAACATTGAAACTTTTGAGTTTTGAAAAATTCATCTCAACCACAAAAAAAATTGTATTTGCAACCTACCATGCAGTTCATTTTCGTACAATGCACCACTTATGTTATTTTTTGGCAGCAATCTCGTCCAAGAGTCTGAGGAAATCCACAAAAAATGTTCAGCAAATTCGGGATGAGCAGCTGCCGTTTTTAAAACCTCACTGGCGAGTTGCTCGATTGTAAATAGCAAAACAGCTATAATAAAAATATATATATAAATCAAATATTCGTTGTGTATGGAATATACATATTCCTAAATATATATATAGGCTTGAAAACACACTCGTATATACTTTTTAGTATAAATCCACAACATCAAAATTAAAGTTATTGGGGTAGAGAACAAAACTAAAAACGTTATTTTAAATATATTTGAACTTTGTATTGTTTTGTCACAACCTCTTGCTTGTTTTGTTTTAAGTTCCCGAAGTACGTTTACGTATTCATCAGATTTTAAGTTGGTAGACATTCTGTATCCTACTGCAATACATATTCCATTTTCTTTTAAAGTTTTCTCTAGTTCTGAAAAATTAAAACAAGAACACGATTAAACTAACTGCCTGTACCCGTTGAATCCATGCTAAACTTTTCATTGAGAAATATTGAATTTCCAAAACAGAAATAATGTTCTTCAAATATATTATACAAAGTAATCTTAATTTGTGATATATACCTGTGTAAGCCCGTGATCCATAATGTGTGTCTTCGTATACTACCGATACATAACTCCACCCTTGATGTTTGATAAATTGCGTCATTGCTTGGAGCTGAAACGTAAATCTGAATTCACTTACTTGATATTTGTGACTTAAGATATGTCAATATATATATATCGTAAATGAATAGTCGGTTCCATATTTTTTATTATTATTATAAAACTGTAATCATTATCACATATATCAAACTTCATGTAAAACAATTTTAAATTTTCGAATAGCATACCTGATGTGTGTCGGAAGGAATAGTTCTGAAGAAATAAGGAAACAATGATTTATCGCTTAACGTTGGATTCGTGGACCAATAACTGATCTATGAGAAAAATATTACAATGTTATAATATATTGACTTTAATAATGTTAAATAAAATATTATTAATAATAATAATATGATTTGTTTTATTGTACTTTAGCTTCAATTTCTAAACCTGTGCTGTAATTTGATTTATTTGGTGTGAATATCTGCAAGCCAACCTATTTAAGTTTCTAAAATGTATTATGCTTTCGTAAACATTACTCACTTCATGAAGACTAAATTTGGTGTATCATCATCACAAGTTTATTTGTTTATTTGAAATTGACTATGCACGTTCAATGTGCAAAAAAAGATGATTGTTTACTTTTCTTATATATCACACACAACCATAACATGAGAAAAAGATACGACAACTGATCACGATAATTCAAAACGCAAACTTGCTCATCAAAATCTATTTTTAAAACTTGCATTACGTTTATTTATATGCTGTACTTCAAATCAGTGAACTATCGTTCTTGTGTTTTATACAAAGACGTGTTCTCAGTCATTAATGTCAAATTTAAATTAAATCGCCATTTTGCCTAATATTGGTTTCAAGTTTCTATTGAGTCTTATAGGACCCATTGTTTCACCAAAAGTTCTGATGTTTTATTTTAGTCAAAGAGAACCACATTTTATCCCGTGTTATTCTACCGCTACCATATTCTCTTCATGTTTCACCAAAAGTTCTGATGTTTTATTCCTGTCGATCTATTCACTCGCTACTCCCAGCCCTCATCGTAACGATACCAATGAGTCATTTTGATGTCCATATTTTTGAGAATAGCTTCCATGTTATTCATAAATAATAATATACACCATAAATATTTGTCATAATATGATAATCTAACCTGTGGAACAGAAAACACTTGCAACAGTTTAGCAGTTTCGATGGACACTTGACTGGAGGATGCTCCGATGAATCCTATAAATAATTATGAAATCAATTGTTTCGTGAATATAACGCGACATATATGTATGTATACATACTTAATTGAGGAATTTTATTAAAATTATGTACGTTTTCCAACAAAAAGCAAGGCTATGAGCATTTATAAGTATTTGGTCTTCAATCATCCTTGCTTAAAGGGAATCAGAGCCGAAGGTGTATGCCACTACGAACTAACCTGCAAACATTGACTTCTTTGATAAAGTTTTTGATGTTGAACATGAAGTTGTTGCTTCCGAAAATAAAGGTATAAATTCTGTGACAATCTGAATAAATTACACAATTATATAATACCTGCAGAAATTTATGAAGTTGTTGCTTCCGAAAATAAAGGTATAAATTCTGTGACAATCTGAATAAATCACACAATTATATAATACTTGCAGCAATTAATGAAGTTAATTGTTGCTTCCGAAAATAGAGGTATAAATTCTGTGACAATCTGAATAAATCACACAATTATATAATACTTGCAGCAATTAATGAAGTTAATTGTTGCTTCCGAAAATAAAGGTATAAATTCTGTGACAATCTGAATAAATTACACAATTATATATTACTTGCAGCACTTTATCATATTATATTTTTATTTTACAATTCAATCAAACCTGTCCAATGGTGTGGGAATCCATTGCTCTTGTGTCTATCATCATGGTACCCAGTTCCATGCCTGGTAAGATTTTATCGTCTTTGTTAACCTGACGTTAACAAGAAATATGAAAAATTGAAGAATAGGTGCATATATATGCAAAACAAGAGAGCTGTGCTCAAATATATGGACACGTTAACCAGGACAGCCAGTATTCCCATGGATAAAATAATACAGCGAAATTTTAGACGAAATATCAGATTTCATGCGAAATTTAGAAATAAATAAAAGTAATAGCCTTCTGGCAAAAAAATCAATCTTTACGCACTGAAAATTTCAAAGCAATTGGTCCAGTAGTCCAAGAAAAAGGCGATTTAAAAAAAAATGATGGAGACAAATAATAATACCAATAACAACAAAATTTTTGAAACGATCGTTATGTCCACTACGTGTCCAATAAGGAACTCCTTACTGACATCGACAATGCGGTACCGCTTAGATATGCGATCTCAGCGATTGTGTGACCTTGGGGATTTTAGATTTACGATGACAGGGTTAGAAACTGAATTCTATGAGAATGTCTTTCTGAGTTGAACGCATACCAAAGTGACACCACAATTGGTTGACCGTCGGACTTTGGAAGGATAAATATCACTAAAATATCAACTTACTTGATCAATTATCATATTTATTGTTTCAACTGTTTGCATGGCGTCGTGTCGAATTTCTCCTTTGCCGTGAAACTGCACCGGAATCAAACCACCTATTAGTATATCACCATCTCTATGTTGCACTATGTTATTTTGATTTTTCTGCGACTGGACTGCGTCATTTGAATAGTAAAAATGAAAATGCTTTATCAGATTACGTTTTTATGCTACCAATGTATATACTTGCACACTTTGTAATGCTGATTTCTATTTAAACGGGACTAATCCTCTTGACAATTTTCATTTTGCTATAGTTCAGAAATAATTAGCAAATCTTAAATAGCAATCTCCGTTGTAAACTAACCCGTTTTTTGAACTTTACATACGAAATAACTCAAAAATAACAAACGTAAAAAATTAAACACCTACCTTGAATCAAAAATATGACCATCAAACATATTTTAATTGGCATTTTCTTAGCAGTATTTATGTACTTATTCTTATCAACTGAATATCAACAAATAAGATTACATTAGAAAAAGAAATCCTTCCGCTTTCACGCCGTACACTTTTCACTTTCGACTTTGCCTGCGTTCACACCCTTTACTTTATGATTAAAAATTTACAAACACTCTTATCTCACAGAATAAAACCATCTATACTGAACTTTTATCTTATTTAAAAGACCAGCAGGCAGAGCTAAATCTTTGAACATTTTGTTTAATAGAACACACAATTTAAAAAAAAAATTCGGCAATGTTTATGATTATCTCCCAGTTAAAATTGCAATGTAATTTATGAAAAGCTCTAAAACATGAATATTATTCAAGCTACAAATGTGTGACAGATTTAAAACAAAATTGGATATGATTGTTACGTCTCAACGTGGCAATTCCGCAAAGTTTATTAATTATTTATTCCTATACTAACGCAGAAATTAAAGAGTTTGAAGAAAGGTCGCAGAACAATATATACAATTCTGTGCCACGACATTTTACTTGTACATATTAGTTGTTTATTTTTCAGATCTTTTTAGCGGAAGTCAAAACAAAAATCTTGTATATATATTGATGCTAAATGACAAGTTTTAACGTTGCATATCTATCAAACTTCACTGAAAGACTTTTTCAGTTCTGTTCAACTGATGCAATACGTTCTTATGGCAACATGAATACATATATATAACGAATTTTTTTACCAATTTCATGAAATCCAAATAATTAACGAAACGTATCATAAAAATTAAGCACAAGTCAAAGGTTGTCCTATTAAAGCCATGCCATAAGCACATGTAGACACACAAAAGAAATCTCTGCCCTATGTTGTTTCCTTCAATTTTGAACTTTCTAAACCGATCGGGCTGCCTCGCATCATATTTGACCTCATCTCAATACTCAGTTTGACACTTATATTCTTTACTTTGCTAGCGAACCTTTTTTCTTTTGTAATTCTTTGTTCTTCGTCAGTCAGGGAGTGCGTAGTATCGAAATCAATACTGCGTTTGGCCGTGCATAAATAAAATTATCGTGTTATGATCTCACACATATTCAAGTTATATTTAGTTTATTCGTTTTGGCTCACACGAAATAAAATGCAGAACGTGATATTGCAATAACTTCCGTTGTGAACGTCGTATTGTAAAGTTTTATTAACTTTTGTTTTATTGCTATATTTTCTCTCAAATATTCTACTTTAAAATTTTGTGAAAATATTCGTCATACATTTGCAACTCGATATGATGTTATATTAGACCTCGACGGTAGCAGGTCTAAACCCTCAAGCCGAGTACCAAATTTGCTGCAAAATCGGCCGATAATTGGGCTAAAATACAGCATTATAAAATAAAACAGCAAAATTTCGGGTGAAATATTGCGATCTGTCAACGGCTTCAGCCATCGCCATGATATGAATATTTGAACTCGGTTGGTCTATTGTATGCGAAGTTGGATATTTTTTATTCACAACAACAATAAAACGAGAATATCGGTCTGAGACCGAAGACGAAAGTTAGGGATCCCAAAACAGAGCTCTTACTCAATAGTGACACCTTGTGTCTTACATCACTAATTTATTAATAACTCGCTAATTATACGACATAATTCGCCCAAAATCAATAGGATCTGGTCCGATGTGATATGATAAATGCTCATGCAACATCTGGAGCAGATTCAATCTCGCTTTCGTGAGATATCGCGTGCATCTAACAGACAAACAAACATACAGACAGACAAATACCTATCAACATACTTACCGATTAAAATTGATAAGTAATTATGACAGAACGATTCATGGTTCCAAATGTTACCCCAAATCGAAAATCACATTCATGAAGCAAAGTTTTCTTTACTAACTTGTAATATTTAGTTTTATCGCCGTACATAAGTCGATGAACCAAACAGCCAGTCTTGATATTTTCAGAATAAACCGGTACAATAGAGTTGGTTCGAGTAAAATAAAACATAATAGTGATAAATTATCACTTTTTTTCTAGTTGCCAGAAATGAATATTTACAACATTTATTTCACTAATTGAGTAAAATGCATCCTGAGTATGGATATTCTGGAATTCCAGTTATTTTTTATAATTTCTCGTTCATTACTTTCACTACTTTTGGTAAATGTATGTTCAGAATAAATCTTAGCATTTTAAAACTATTTATATCAACGTGTTTAAAACAAAGTTTATCAGCAATCATCAGAAAATTTGTTCAAAATGACCATAAAGGCGCAAAATTTTACCTAAAATTTGCTCATCCAAACGGAAGTGCCTCTACGCAGATTAGAAGACAACATAATAAGTAAACGAGAATATCGGTCGGAGACCGAAGACTTATCGATCTTAGATCGGTAATTAGTTAATAACTCGCTAATTATACGACATAATTAACCCAAAATCTATAGCTTCTGGTCCGAGGTATGATGTATGCACATGCAAAATTTGGAGCAGATTCAACCTCGCATTCGCGAAATATCGCGTTCATCTAACAGACACACACACAGACAGACAGACAGACAGACAGACAGACAGACAGACAGACAGACATACATACAGACAAATACCTATCAATATACTTACCGATCTTAAGATCGATAAGTAACAATTCAATACTGTTAGAGGAAAAAAATAAGTAATAATTGTAATTATTTAGAATTTACAGTGGTGATATAAAATTGAAAATTTGAAACTGTTCAAGTGCTCTATATACACATACTGTGGTGATATTTAAGTGATAACTTAGTTAGATATAGAGATTGATATAAGGTCCCATTTGCCATTATACAATTACTCAAAGCAAAAAAAAAAACAATGCAAATAAAAAGACGTGCAACCTCATATAATTTAAAATGTAACGTTCGTCTTGTAAAGTCCCAATTAACATAAAATGTTTTCTTCGGTGAATGGCTTTAGGAATGACTAAATGCGTATGAAACAATATTACAAATATTCAAGACAATCTGACGCATATTAATATATTATGTTCGATCTTGCTCTTCATGCTTTACCTCAGCGACATAAAGTGATGATTCCCCGTTTTTCTTTTGTCTTGATGAATTGCTTCTGACTGAGTATCTACACATATATATGTATATAATTGATTTTTATAATTTGTTATCACTGTATTTTATCGCCTTGTCCATATTTAATCAGCAATGAACACACAGACAGTGACTGTCACACAATAACATATATACCATCATCAAAGATTTCGAAGCAGTGTTCCGTTCCTACAATTTTAAAGACTTATGGGCAATATGTATTGAGTTGTTTGAATCAAAAAAGCAATTCTAGTAGCATTAAATCTCATTAAGACAGTTCCTAAACTAAAATCACTTATATTGCACAACCGATCGTATACTAGAGTAGCACCGTTTTTGGCTTACTTTGTTTACTTCATTTACTTTTCCTTTTTTCAAGTAAATTTTTCACTTTGTGTTCATTGATGATTCATTTAAGGAAATGCGAAAAATACCTTTCAAACTTCGTTGAATACTTGGTACTTCTGTATTTACGTAAATCAAAAATATAACTCACGAGCTTCGCTTTGGAGTCATCACGGACTGTGACGTGTTTTGTTCCGGGTGGAAAAGAATTGTGTAACAACGATGTCCAAACATGCAGAATAAAACTGTACACGCGTTTAGACTCAAACACAATGAAACAACTGTTAGCTAAAACAGAGTAAAATAATGTTGTAGTTGAATACTTGAATACAAATTGGACACAAAGTGGACCTGTGTATCGCCTTGTCTTTATTATTGTTAATATATTGTTGTTAGTATTCGTCTTATTGTTGTTTATTATTTATTAGGGCTATTACCTTTATTTATTTCAAAAATCTCTGTGGGCCTTTTGGGATTCGTTTTTTTAGTTTGAAATTTTGTGTGATTACTCGAGCATTGATCTCTTGTCAAAAGTACGAAGTAATGCTAGGGTTTTAATTTTGAAACAAATTCAAAATTACGGTATAAAATGGAAGAATTAGTAGCAATTTGTCAAATCAAAATTAGTATTTGGTTAATAAGTCTAAAATAACTAATGTATTTAAAACCAAATACCTCAGAGTTGGTAACCCGAACAGAGCTTGATCAATATATTTTTACTAACCTTGAGTTCATAATTCGTCTTATTTGTGACAAATATGGCAATGAATCCGAGCCATATTACACATGTTGTGTACATTGTGAATCCTTAAAAATATTATATAAATATATTGTTTATAGTTAGCTTAATATCATTCTCGAAAAAAAAAATAGTTTGTTTTAAAAAGAAACAGACTGGATCATACACAAATTTTCTTTGACGATCAAGGTATTTTTTTGTGTTTGAAAATTTCATTTATTTTGATATTATTAATATGAGATAAAGGGGTAATATATGGACATGAGATATTGTTAGATTACTTTTAATTGCGTGAAGTTACGCTATTCGCTGGAGGAGGAGGTTAATACTTATAGCTATCAAAAATTTGATTCATTTAAAAAACGAAGCAATTTTTCCAACAACAACAACATGAATAAAACTAAAATGAAAAATTGTTCAATTAATGTGCAATAAACGAACAGAATTTCGTTTCAAATGTTTTCATATTTTTGCATATGATTTATATCCCAAAATTACATATTTACATATCGGCACGGTGAAGACATAAAGTCATAGGATAAAAAGTAGTACAAATAACAAATTATATTTTACTGAGGGGATATCACATGACTAAAGTGACCTTACCGACTAGTTTTGCTTCGTTGAATCCTGTAGGAACATTTCGATTTACTGTTGCCAGAATTGTAGTTAATATAATCAATAAAAACGGATAAATTAATCCTATCTTAACTTCGCTGTGAACAAAGGTGTGGCAAGTCAAAAATACGGTCCCAATATCTTCAGTTTTTTTCATTTTTATTTCCGGTCCATCTATGGCAAACCATATTACCAACACAAGCACTTGCACAAATGTTAGTAAGGTAGTAAATGCAAGTTGGGATCTTGGTCGAAGAAGCAATTTTATCTAAACACAATCAAAATAATGTAATTAGGAGATTGGATTTGATATATTGTGGGTTCCATTCTGTTGGCCCATACTCACATTCGGAGATAAAACTTTGTTTCTGAATATGATAACCACTCGGAGAGTTTTCATGAGTAGTGCTCCATACATTATTGTAGGCCCAAGCGAGAGTATAGTTCGAGACAGGATGCACGATGCGATTGAGGGATATGAAATGATAAACCAACAATTCGCGAACGTGATGAACATGCCAAAGAGAACAACGAAGCACAGCTCCTGTACATTAATCGTATGATTAAAATTTTCAGAAATATTTAATTTACGATTAGGCATTTTGTACATGGAATATTTTATGTGGATTGTTTTATCAAATGCCAATCCTTTTTTGGATAAGGCCATAAACCCTGAATGTCTCGTTCAGTCCAGCCCTCGAGTTCAGTCCAAGCACCAACAAATTTTGAAGTTCGAATACCAAGTTGAGAAAAAGACAAATATGAGTTGCATTGAAAATTAAAAAACGTCCAACTTACGCTAAACTTGAAAATCCAATAACTTAATCTCTATTGACAACATTTACATAGAAATCAACATAGTCTATTTTTAGTAAATTCTGAATAGTTAGTTATTCACCGTTGAAAATCGTTTTTAACCGTTTTTTCTGCACAGACTTGCAGAGTCTCGGGTTTAGTCTTTTAGTCGGTTAGTTATGTACGAATCAAGCAAATGGGTTTAGATTACTCGAATACGTTGTGTTTCAGCTTCACTTTCAGTTTGATATATTTATCGTTAGATAAATTTACCTTACCAGATGCCTTTACTATTGGCGTCTCCTTGTATTTATAGTACAGGACAGAAATTACGATGGTTAAAATTGTACCAAAAATACCAAGAGCTAAGGATGCAATACTTTCCGGTTTTTCATATGACATATATCTAAAAAAATAATTAGAATTTTATTTGCAGTTAAGTAAATTAACTTTTTATGGCAATATCCTTAAACGGCCTTGCATAGCGTTCGTTCGACATTGACATGTCAGCATATGAATCTTGTATAGAAACCGAGGTAAAATCAACAACTGACACCAAAATCGCTAAAGAATACTTCAGATCACTAAGATCAATGCCATGTGAGCCAATATATATATACATACATTTTCACCATCTTTTCACAACCTGTATAACTTGAATTAGGCTTTTGTCCTTCAGCACAACGTTCACATTTGGACTCATTAGAAACAAACTCTAGGTCACCACAGGGTTTACAAATCCAGCAGCATTTTATCTAAGGAAATATTTATGGAAAAAGTATTAATATGTTCGACGTTGTTGTGAGAAAATTGGGCGTTCCCGTAGTATGTGCAACACAATGGCAGAATGACAATGCAATGGTGGACACCTGAACATAGCATGTGTATTAGGTTAGGTTTAGGCCATAATTGTATTATAATTTCCCCTATTTTATAGTTTTTTCACGAGTTCGGAAACTAGCCAAGTGACTCCCGGAGTATTTCTACCCGATATTATGGCCTAACCCTAACCTTGTACACATATCACGTTCCGGTGGCCGCCATCTTGTTGCACATACGGGTGTACCGAAAATTAATGTCAAAACGTGGAAAAATCAAAAATTGGTTTATTTCATTATGCTCCAAACATGGAACATGTCCAAAATATGTATTCAGCAGTATAACCCAACTTTATAATAGTATATATGTAATAACAAAAATATTCATCTAGAACGAAGAGTACACAGCTCCTGTGCATATTCACATCGTGTGGAATTAAAACTTCTAAATTGTTGATCCTTGTTTATGAAATCAAACATCCGTATTTTTCTCGGCCAAATGAACAAAATTGATGTTCTTCTATAATTTTCTACAAAAATATTAATTTATGCCTATATGCCTATTATGCCTAATCATTTCGATATAACGTCATAAAAGGAAGTAGAAAAACAGAAACAGCCTTCATTCAGCTCATGCTTACTCTTACATTTAAATAACATAGCCTAGCTAATTTATTTTTTATGCTTTATTAAAGCATGAAGCTAAGCCCTTACGTAGAGGAGCAAAATGATTTTTGGCGCCACGATTCCCTGCAAATTGTTTGCGCTCGTATATACTTATAAAGTGGTAGTGCTACTACAACATGGGATCTACCACACTAGAGTGTGATATTTCCCAAAACCAGTACGAACTACAGCGTGTGGACTCTCTCAGGGCCGAGATCGAACTCTTTCTGCAGCATTTTAAATTGCCCACAATCGACGTTAACTTGTGCAGATCAAGGGACTGCACCTAAGTAGGCTATTTATGGCGGTTAACTTCGTAACGAAGTAGCACCCAGGAGATGTTGTTTTGCTCCAATAAAAATTAACAACACAACTCCGAAACTATTGTCCGAAATTGAGCCTTTGCTAAGGAGTGCGATCTTCTAAAATATTGCAACGTGCTCGTATCCAAATTTTGATTCCATTAATGAAACCCTCCACGGAGAGATATCGTTTATTTAAAAGCTAAAAAAAACAATGTTCGTTTGCCACAAATAAGTTTGGACTTGGTTCACATCTTTTAGGCAAAACTATTCACTAAATAAAGAGAAGTATTTTCAGTAAAAAACGAAATGCGTAAAGATAATAAGTTTTATTACCCCAAAAAACCAAGATAAAGCAATAATTAGAATTTTTTAAACATACTTGAGAAATTTCCTTTACATGATGTGGCTCACACTCGTCAGAGCAATTTGATTTGGTGTCAAGCACTTTTTGCGTTGTTACGTTTAGATTTCTAATTCCTAGAAACGTAAATTTGTAAAATTGAAAGAATTATATTTCGATACAATCTAACTATTTTGTTTGACTAAGATAAATCTTGATCGGGCTTCAAATGGAGATCAATTGCAATTTAATTCCAAAATTCGTAATACCAATAAATTATTTTCTTACCATTTGTCTTTTCAGTGATTACCGAACGAATAAAATTTGAAAATGAATAGAAATTTCTATATATATGAGAAGTACACAGGTAAATATCAATTAAAAAATTGGGTATATTTAAAAACATAGAATTTCTTGGATGTAAGAGCTATTTTAGGAATAGAATAGTTTCCTCACATACAAGTTTGCGTACTTATCATATATCAAAAACTAGAGACAAAGTGACAATAAAAGTCTATGTTTTAGTAATATAAATCCGTTAGTGTAATATATATCATTCATGAATTTTCCATAGCTTTCACTAAATCGAGGTTACTGCTAGGTATTTAGATGAAAGTATATTATTCTGTTATCGGATAATTTACAACCCTGGACGACAACGTTATCACCTTTTATCATTTATCAACTTATTTAATAATATTTATTCTATCTACGAGCAATATTTTACTCAAATACATACCAGAGCTTGAGTATATTCCAACTTTAACCCAATTCTCCGTTTCCATTTTGTAATTAAAAATGTCATACTCAGGAGGCGCATCTTGATGTTCGTTGAAATAGAACTGATGACCATCGATTCCTAATGAAAATAGTTTTTGATTACATTTACATTTCAGAGCCAGATTATTTTTTTTATTATTAGTCGATAAAAAGAATCAATAATATTTCGTAATCTTCGAACATTACTTATAGTTAGGAAAAAAGATATCCGTTACCTAATCATGTACTTGATGAAACTGGGTTTAAAATATCAGTTGAGAAAATAATGAAAATTTAAGTCTATCACAAAAAAATCAGGGGTATTTTTTTACAAGTAGAGATTGAAAATTGGCAACAAATTTCTACACACGATGACTCACGAGGATGATTGTTTTTCTGCAGACGTTGTTAAATTCAAATGTTTAAACTTTCATCTCAATCAGTATTTATAATTTTTTTTTTTCAACAGAACATATATTCTATAAAACTAAAAGCATATCAGAGGTAGCTTTCAAATTAATAAGTATTAAATCTTTTTAAATTCTTCATACATTTCTAGTACGTGGGAGAGTTTTCGTTTTCACTTCATATAAAGCATGGGCGTAAATGTATTTCACCATATAGAATCAAATTTTGCTCACCTTGGAACGTAACATTTTTTAGATGTTCTGCTGTTCTAGATGCAAATTCCGTAGTTCCTGTCATCATTTCCATTTTCTCACATATTCCTGATCTTCCATTACATTCTTCTTGGTGTATTTTATTGACAGCATGAACAAATGAGAGAACTGCATTAGCAATTCTGCCATTGTATGGAAAATGTTTGAAATTTGCAAGATCAATTGATTCATTTTCAGGACATCGATCCGGTGGATCTAAATGTGAGAGTTAGTTTTATTGTGTAAAATGCTCATTTTGCACTTAATCAAAATATACTTATTATAAGTAATCTTCTATTATGTCTACTAACCCGCTACCAAGGAACAGTTTTTGATCTTGCTAAAATATTCCGCAAACCACGGATTTCGATGTCGATTTGTTTCGAGTTTTAAATTTTTGAAGTGATTTTCAAATCCTGGTACAGGATCAGATTTAGGTAGGAATCCAATAGCACCTGTAAATTTACATATAAGGTAAATTGAAACACATAATTAACGAGAAAAAGAAATATATATCGTGGATTAAGCGTATCTAAATTAAATCTTCCCGTGCCTCTTTGGCGTGAAACCCGCAATATGAATTGAATATACCAGGTATTTGAATCTATGAGAAAACAACCTAATTTTACAGGAGGAAATAGTCTAGTCATTTATCCAGCGCATGTTTTAATTATGTAATTTTTTTTATCCCTTTAATTAAATTAAATTATGTGAATATAAAAACTATTACGTTAATATATTTATCTGTGGTTATATGGGTTCAGTTGTTACACAATGAAATAGTGATTGGACGGATGCTCATTGATCGATAAAGGAGTTAAAGTGTATATGTATAAATGTCATGTATGAAGTTAAACCATACCGTCGATTTCGTATTTGTATGAATCAAATTCGTTTTCTGTCCGTTCTGGTAACAATTTGGTCCAGGCGTCTCCTCCGATCCAAAGAAAATGATTTGCAGAATTACTGTTGACAGCTGATTGCATTATTTTTTTTGCTGCTTTTTCAGTGAGGAGTAGAATGACAGCTGATGCTGCGAAATAAAAATATTCTTTTTTCAATGTATTTTTCGGTTTTCTGATCATTTAATTGTTGACTTATTTATTCTCTTATATTTTGTTTTTCAAGATAGAGTCAAAATGATTTTTCCTTTCTTTGTATGTCTGTCTTTGGTCCGATATGTCTTCGCCCGGTCCTTTCATGCTCAGCAAATGAATATTTCACTCCAGCGCCATTCAAACCAAGTCACAAATAGGGCCGGGCATTTTCCAAACAAGCAAGATTGCCACAAACAATAAAACAAGCACCATTATTACGCATCAAATTTGATGTATATTAGAAAATAATTCCAAGGATTAAATCCACATAAAACTAAGCAATTGAAGCTAGTTCGAGGGCATAAAATGATAATGCAAAACACTTCCTGCCAGGTATTCTTCCCGCAAAGGACTTTGCTTAATTACAGAACAGTGACCAAATGACGTTAGAATTATATGAAACGAATCGTGCAAGTGAAGTTTTACAAGATTTTACAAGTAAATGAGAGAAAATCGGTTAACAATTAAACAAACGTAAGAGAAAAAAGCAACTTTTCCAAAAATTAATTATGTTGTGCATTCATAAATTACCATTTCCTTTCAAACACACAAGAGTTTCTACGCGTTTGCCTATTGAGATAGTCCTCAATTCTCTAGCAGTTTAACATTTAAGGACAAACTGTGACAAATTAGGAGAACACATGTTATTATCACGACACCATGCAAGTCGGCGACAAAATGTTTTTTATGTATACCCGAAGAAAATGCACAAATATCCAATATATTATGACGAAAGTGGAATTTGATACGATCATTTGTCTTTATGAGCAAGACCCAATGTTCCTCAATACAGTGTAACATTCAGTGATATAGTATCGAATTTAGCAAGGTCACCCGCACTCGCCCGAAATCAAAACGGACTGATCTTTTAGCGCAGTTACGGCGATCATGAAGTCCCGAGACATAAGGAGATTTCAATGAATTATAGTGGTGAATCATGCTTTAGCAAATATACAATCTTCAGTTAATATGATGATATTTTAGTTCTCTATCCGCTGTAGAAGGTCGCCCTATATCGTGGCAGATTACCTCTTATGACATTAGGACTATTTTACTTATATGGCATTTATAATATAGGTTATATATTATTCTCGTTAATACAGGCTGACCTAAAAGAAACGGAACCCGAACATTTTATAATTACCTATACGAAAATGGAGCAAATTGTTTTATTTTGCCTACACTTGAACTTGAACAATTTTGGGCAACGAATGTTAGCCATGTCTCTAATGGCATGAAGGTACATTCCAACATAGTCTAGAGAAAACATAACTTTTGTACGAAGCGTCCTAGATTTCTGTAACTGTAGGAAAAAGGTGCAAATAAAATTGATTACATTTTTTTAATTAATTATGAAATTTATCGGTTCCGTTTTTTGCGGTCACCCTGTAGTATACGAGGAAACAAATGACTTTCAACTCACTTCGATTTCCATGTTTTGCTCTCAGAGTTTCTATGACTTCATCTACTTCATCCGTGTTATCGTCGTTATTATCTGTTGGCATACTTAAAGCTTCTGCAATGCATATATTCCTCGCAGCTGCCTTAACCTCCAAATCTGAAATACATAGGTTGGGTTAAAGAAATAAATGTCTCTTCCCTCAGTAAATCTACATTGGTAATATTTTCCAAACTGTTATTTTTTTTCTATACTGCTTCGAATTATGTATCAACGTGAAGGAGGCCAAGGCAGCAACAGCAAAAACCACAAAAACAAAAAACTAAGCCTATGAAAAAAACACTTAGGTCTTATATTAATAATAGTATAATACAATCTAACATAATATAAGCAAGGCAAATTTCTATCTATTACAAACGCCATATACACCAAGAATTATGGCTTTTCTTTTGGTAACGGTTTTTCTGTTTAATTCTTATAATTAAAGTATTCTTTTATACCTTCCTTTGTTATTAATATATTAACTTTTCTCTCTCTCAATTCTATTTTTTTTTCTCTCTTGTATTTTTTTTTTTCTAGAGGAGACGAGCATCACGTGACAGGGAGAGTTTACATGAGTGTGCATCAAGGTGCATTTCTCCAAACTCTCTTCTGTCACGGAAGTGTTCGCCGAATCTAAAAATCTGTTTATCTTTTGTTTGGTGCATTATATTTTACCTCTATAACAGGTATTTGAAGAAAATAACATCTACAAGCCTCCCCTGCAACACGTGAGTATAAAAACAAGGTGAGTATCGGTGGGTCGAGGACTACTATTAAAAAAAAAAAATTAAAAAAAAATAAATGTCTTTGTGACAAACAATTCTTCTTCTTTCTCAAGAATGATATCTTGGGTTATAAACTTTCCGGAATAGATTATATTTAGTCGTGCTAAAATAAAATAAAACCGAATATATATTATTCGATATATTTGTGAATTCTAAATTTCGCAGTACGATGTATTAACTGAGTATTTCATCCAAAACATGTTCTACTGCTAATAACGAACTACAACCATCAATTCAAAAGATTTATGATAAATATTTATTTATTCAAATTTTTCTGATAGCAAATTAGATAAAATTTAAAGTCATATTTTTACCCTTATATCCCCTTGTTCCGTAGTGTGAATTTTCGTAGACAATCGATATATAATTCCATCTCCGGCTGTACACAAATTCGATCATTGCTTCAGTCTGGTATATATGAGATGTGGTTATGGCATAAACAATGTAGGAATGTATATCTTGAATTTTTATACAGAAATTTTGGAATCTTATTTCAAAAACAAGAGAGCAATTCTCAAACACAGGAACACGAAAACCAGAACTAAGTAGTACGGGTATGCAATCCGCCACAGGCTATACGAAAGCCGCAGTCCTCACGACTTCGTCTGACCACCAGATAGACAGACCCTAACGCGACCACGGAACCGCCTCAGGAACAAGATGAGCGTTTTTTAATTCTGATGACGTCATCGCTTAAAAATCAAATTTCCAGTGCACAGAAATTTTTGAAATGAATAAAAGCGTCAACCTTCCAGCAAAAAATAGAATCTTTAATCACCGAAAATTTTTAAAGCAACTGGTCCAGTAGTTAATGGGGAAATCTATTTTTACAAGAAGAAAAAAAACAGCATAATATGAAAACGATGCAATTGTACATTTCGTGTCAAATAAACGAGTTAGAATGCGATAAATTTAAATGTACTTTATTCATGTTCACGCTACTTAAATTTTCTTACCTGGTGATCGTCCGATGGCACAGTTCTGAAGAAATATGGAAACTCATTTTTGTTACTCAATATTGAATTTGTTGCCCAGTAGCTGATCTAAAATGTTTTAAAAATGGTTACTTTTTACTTCGTCCTCTAAAAAACTAAAACGTAATATAGCATTCGACTCGAGCGCAATAATTTTGCGCCAAACGGCTATCGCTAATATCTGATTTAAAACATAGCACTTACAGGTAAAGTAAATTAGGTTGAAGATGAAACATTAGAAAATGGTAAGTTTGAGTTGGATTCATCGTATAATAAATGATTCGCACATACGATTTTCCAACACCAATCCATTCATCTAATGCTCCCTATTGTGTGATAGAAGTTGAACAAGCACTTTGTGTAGATAACGTTGACCACATTCACATTTCTGGCACTCCGGTAGTATGTGAACCAAGATGGCGGACACCGGAACACAGTATGTTAGGGTAAGGCCATAATTTCATTCCAATTTTCCTTATTTTAGTTATATTACGAGTTTCGGGTATAGCCAAGTGACTCCCGTAATATTTGTACCTGAAATTATGGCCTGGTTCTAACCTGGTACACATACTACGCTCCGTTGCCCGCCATATTGGTTCACATACTACGGGAGTACCCATACTCGTATTCCGTTTTTTGCGTAGACTTGGTATTATGGATTTATTTAAACGATGATAACTGTTCATAGGGCAATTCCTGTCTCCCGTCTTCGTATCTATTTATAAATTTGTGTTGGCATTTTCAATGTATCCGGTAAGCAGTAGTCTCACATTCGACAAAACATTAACTTATGTTTGTAAAAAATGATTTTAATCAAAATATTCCACACCTGAGGGATAGAATATCCTTGTAGCAACCTCGATGTGTGGATAGACACCGTGCTAGATGAAGCGCCAATAAATCCTGTATTAATGATAAATCAAATTTTTTTTAAATTTTAAATCGACGTTGTATTTTCAGGTATCTCGTATATACTAACTGATTTTATGGAAATTCCTACAATATATGAAACAACATGCTTGTATATCAACAACGAGCATAAAGAAGCAATATTAAACCCTAAATGAAAATATTTTTTTGTTTTCAAACATGGTAAGGATGGAGTCGGGGCCGGGCCGGTTTAGATTTTTACCAGTGATGAAAAAAAAGTCAAAATGAACTAACAAACTCATGAAGAGTAGAGTATTAAACAATAGTAAAAAGTCTATAAATAAAGTCTTACATGAGAGTATGCTTTTGTTACCATATTTTGATCTTTTGGGGGTTGGGTTTGGGGTCACAATTTTTTTACCCGGAGTTGGGGCCAAATTTTTTTTTACCGTTTTCACTGTTTTCAACTGTGGTGTCGTTTTCTGCGACTTGATGCTATGCAATTAGAAAATATAATGTAAAAACAATACTGCAATCTGCATACCTGCAAAAAGAGGCTTTTTCTTGCAATTTGTAAAGTTGACTTCACAGAACTGTTGTAAATCGGAAAATAAAGGAAAGAATTCATTGACAATCTGAAACAAAATATTATTAAAATTTAACAAAGCAAAATAATAAGATTGCTACAATTATGAATAATAAAAATAGCAAATACGGATTTAAAAGTTGCATAACAATTTATGTAAAAATTGACAATCTTTTACAGGCGTGAATTGCAAATATGACTTGTAACATACGATGCGTCCAAAATGATTAACATTATCTGAAATAAATATTCTTGTCTACCTTGCAATAAATACTTTTAACCTAGTCTAATTTCTAATTTTGAGGTCAGGTCCGGGAAAATGTAGGCCACCAAATATTACAAGATATTGAAGTCCGCGCTAAACAGCAACAAAAACTTAATTGTTTGTCAAAATTATTATAAACAAAGTTGAGTTTCTCCCCCCCCCCCCCCTTCCGAGAATAAAATAAAAAAAATAATAAAATTACCTGCGGCATTGTGTAAATCCCAGAACGATTTGTGTTTATCATGATAGTTCCAATTGTTATACCAGGCAAAATATTTTCGTCTTTGTTCACCTGAATAAATGATATAATTTAATTGAAGGAATGAAGACCATGTATTTGCTGCAAAAAACATACTGTTATGCATTCGAACTAATTCAAAAGTATGAGTTATGGGTTATGAGTTATATATATAAATTTAGATTGACAAAAGCAATACTCCATATTGTGTAATGTTTCAACAGTTTGAATATTTACGACTAAAGTTTCACCAAAAATTATTTTTGTTGCATTGAATGAAATTTCTAATAATAAAACAGTAAATAATGGATTTTTGTCCAACGTAAAAATAGCTGTATGCCGATAAGATGTTTATATATATATATAAAGCTATTTTGGATTGTATTAAAACGTGACAAAATAACCACACGGCTTATATTCAGAATTTAAAAAATGCAATTTAACTGCTGTAAAACGCTAGTTGTATTACGAAAGCCATATTCGTATGCATCAGTCGTATATCGAATTGCCTCAAAAAGGGATAAAACATGCATTTTTGAGGAGAATTGGCCATGTAGGCCCAACAAATCTGAAGTTTTTCGCAACATATTACTTTTTTCTAAAAATCAGCTCTATAATTGATGCGTAAATAAAATAGGCGAGCTGTATACAGACGGCTTATGAGCTTACCACTGTTAAACAGTCAAAACAATTGATATTCAAAACAACGATATTTATTTCTATTGCTTCTGCTTAAAGCACCTCGTGCATACCTGGTCGACAACCATATTTATGACCTCAACAGTTTGTATTCCCTGATCTTCTTGTGGTACGTAGACAAATCCTCCAATTATTATGTCTCCATCCCTGTGTTGGACAATATTTTTTTTCGACTGAATGAAGAAGACATTGAAGATGATAAATATCAATAGTGACCGCTGGGGATTGACTTGTTTGTTCAGTTTTATTTAGTAAAGTAAAGAACTTTATTTGAAACTGTGAGTATGCAGATTGTGAATCTAACATGCTCAGACGATGATAACCTCAAATATTGATGCAAGAGCCATTGTTGGGCAATTGTCAGCCTGCATTACAGGTGATGCGCTTGGTCCGTTGGAGAGATATGAGAGAATCCTTTAAGAACTCAAAAAGTGAATGCATGGTATTTAATTGTCTGCCACTGTCAGTGATTTCTCTACACCCCCCTATAGGACTTGAACACCTCCCAATATATAGAGGGCGATATCTCCATTTCAGTACTTTTTTCGAAGAGTAATTATCTACCATGGTCATGCAACAGCACGTATGGTGCCGATGCATGAAGTATATTCATAAAACGTCATGTGAAATACATTGAAAAATTACATAAGCCACTCAATTACTACAAATAATATAGGATACGGAATTTTACCAAATAACAGTAAAAATAATTTTATATTTTCCTATTTTTGCGGCCAAATCATTCATGGCTCTTCGCTAGGCATTGTGAATTATACATTTCACATATATTCTACCGAGCAAACTTTTAATATATTTTTGCGATAAATTCCTCATAATTATGTCAATATCTTGTTAATGTGCCATGCACCAATCTATCGAGTTCATCTAACTAACGTTGGTCGGAGCTCTCACAATTCTTGTAAATGAGTTCCAACCTTTACCAGGCCAAGAATTTTGAGGAGAGAAGGTGGACTGCTGGTTGAGATATATATATATATATAGGAGATATTGTTCTTACCTTCGGCCATGAAGTTGCTAACGCAGCTTGTAGACATAAAAGGAGCAAAAAGCATTGACGATTCCCCAATTTTTTAACCATTCTATTTATATATATATACTTCAAAATAATATCTTTATAAATAAAATAAAGAATTTGAAATGCTTTATGTATATATTTCAGCGGTCGCCGTATGTTAAACGGACGTATATAGCAATTAGAAGTTAGTTAAATTGAGGTTCTATTGATGGTATTTCAGCGGTTGTGTAATCCCGGTAGGGTTATGAACTGAATTATATGAAAATATCTTCATGAGATCACGCTAAGCAAGTGAGATCGCATACCGAAGTGGCGCCGTTAACTTATCATTTCCTCCTTTACTTTTTTAGATATAGCAGTTTCTCTGCATCGCACCTTTGAAAAATCTCCAACTGTACTTTCCGACAAACAACATATCAATCTAATTGAACATCAAAGCTATCTGATTGCTATTATCTAACCAGAATTACCAAACGGTCTAAATTTTTTTTGGATGTCGCATAGGCAAAAAATGATTCACAATTAAATGAGAGCATACTTCCTCGTAATGAGTTTGCCTATGGATTGGAAATTTGGTCATAGAATGTTGGTCGATAGAATTTCTGCTTTGTGTGCGTATTACTGTAGTAAAACAAAGGACATAGTTTTAACTACTCATTTGCCAGCATTCAGTCACGGAAGTTGGTCTGTGTATTACGTATACAAATGAAAGGAATTTTAAATGACTATGTTTGCGGAAATATGAAAGTTAGGATACTGTTTATCACTGGTTTCATCGTACAAAAGCATAGCCCATTCAGAATTTGCAGTTCTGTATTCGGAGAACTGATTTTAACGATTCCCTGTTTGTTTTGCATCGGGTATACCGACTTACCGAGTAAACTTTATTTGTTACCCATACCGCAAATGAACAATGGTCTAAACCGGGACTCTTCAAACTCGAAGAAATATTAATGAGATTGGTTATCTTTATCTAGTTTTCAATATATGAAGACATTTTGGTCGGATAAAATCTTAAATCGTCCCGTTTGCTGATGGGAATAAGATTTATTTGTTTTGATAGCAATATCGTCACATTATAAAACCTTTTCCTCACCAAATAAGATGCTGGAAATGGAAGAATCCAATAAGTTTCAGTCTATAATTTAATGTCCATAGGTGAACCAAACTGACTTCTCTGTTACCCGCCCCATAGCTAGAAAACTTTGCGCTTTTGAAAAACAGAACTCCCATTGTTGCTGATGTTTTTTTTCACAATCAACGTTGTTGTGTTATTTATTACATAAAACCCTATAAATAGAAATGATCAATTTATAAAGTAGAAAACTTCTATATGAAATGAGACAAAAGTTTTCTTTTCAAATATTGAAATAAGAATGGAACGAATAAAATTAATGTATTGTGTTTAAATATATTAATGTATAGAGCAGAAAATATGTGCTGGAATTAAACACATTTTTCCTTACGAAATTCGCACATATAGAGCACCAATTTGGTGAAGTAGTTAGTATTTAACTGGTAAGCATCAAAATCAAACATATCGATGGTAAAAACATGAAATAATAATATTCGCAAGTCATTCGTGATTTGAAGTTTGGATGTTTGAAAACGTGTCAACCACAAAAACGTGATTGCATTCAAATATTTGACCATTTTTTTAGAGTTGATTATCTTTCCAGTGTTGAGAAGACACAAGTCAGTGAGTTGACTCGGAATTGGGTCACTTTTTAAAGACTCGAAGTCATCTAAACGAAACGACCCTATTCGGAAACACTCGACTAATCTCCTGAGAAACTTAACATTGTACTTGTCTTTAAAATAACAAGTAAAATTCTATGAAATACTTAGATTAATGTTGCATTGAATGTCGAAAATTTTACAATAGCTTAACTATGACTACTCAAAATAGACTACATTGATTTTGTAATTAATTAAAACGTAGTTTAACATTCAGAACAAGATCTTGAAGTCTCAGTGTCAATCTCACTCGTATTTATAAATTTTACTGTTTATTCAAAATCTTTTATGACGCGGACTTGACTTGGTGCTCCAAAAAACTGCAATTCGACTGGTGATTCGGGGGAATAGTGACCCCTTATCGTGACTAGGTTTTTGGGACTTTTACCCGCCCAACATTGCTTATTTCTCGTTATCAGTTGTCTGGCAATTCGTTGATTTTGTCTTCCGCGGAATTATCTGATCGTTTCACTGAAGGTGACACGGTTGTGTCTGGATGAACCACCGATGTTGAGTTCCTTTGTCTCTTAGTACTATTATAACTTCGACTTCTGAAAATACCAAATATGTATATATTCGGTTATTGAAACCGATATGTGATTGGTAAAACAATGCAAATATCACTCATAAAATTAATGCTGGCCAGGGCTGCAGATTTGGAAATCAGAGTTGCGCATGTTCTCACTGGAGTCGGAGGAGTGTTTTCAAACTTCTGGGATATGTGGATGTAGTCCAAATTTTGAATTCGTCTGAGTCGTTCGTTTATACATTCAATGGAGATTCAATTTTTGTACCCAAACTCAAAATACATTGATTTTTCTAAGACTTTTAAACACAACAATAATGAAGACTTACAAACGACATATTTTTTTATCAAAATTTGATATTCTTGGTTCCTCGAGTTCGGAGCTGGAGACAAATTTTTTACGACTAGGAGCCGCGAAATTCAGGACGAAAACTTTTTTATCTCAAATTTTTTGATTTTTAGTCGGGAGTTAGAGTCGATTGTAAATTATCCACGAAACAAAAGACCCGATGCTGGTGATTTCAAAGTTAGAATGATTGGTTAGTGGCCGAAATATTCTTTTATTTACGATTTCAACAGCTCATAATATTCAACCAATTGCTTTTTTTGAACCCCAACCCGAGAGAAGGTGGGAGTTGACATCAAGTAACATTTGTTTTTGATATAAATAATGCTTTATTATCATATAGCATGCAGCTTGTAAGATAGCAGGACCACTGCTCTTTCAATATATTTGAAACACACAAGCCTGATTTCTATGTAGGATACAAAATTAATATTTAGTGACGCATCAAATGAAAAAAATTATTCACTTACCTAGACATGACAGACTCTGATGTATTCCATTCAGGGTGAAATAAAATTGCGTAACATCGAGGTGCAAAAAGACAAAATAATACAGTTATCGCGCTCAGTGTTAGAGATGCAGAAACTGTTGTAAGCTGAAAAATAATTAGCAAAGAAGTTTCAACGGTTGATTATGCATTTGCGTTGTGTAATGTTTTAATTTGTTCAGAGGAAACATAATCAAACACCAGTTAGGACTATGTTAGTTAGGGATATATTATTAAATACGAACGCACATATGTAATGTGTTTTCATATGCACTATATAATAAACGAATCGTCAAATGCACGCCAAAAAGCACTGGAAAATGTTGAAAGAAGCATCTCGCCTCTCTCGCTTTATAGAGTGGATTGAGGTTTGAGTTTGTATTTGGCAAACGGAAATGCATTTTGTAAAACAAATAGTCACAGGTCACTACAAATGATTAACGTTAAATAATTGAAATCATTTACTCACGACTCAATACGACTATGCAGCTATATGTCAACAATAAAATATTAAAATAAGTTTGTCAATTTTTCACTCCAAAGTTTGTATTTTGGAACATATATATCACATTTGTTTGTTAGATGACGAATTATATTTTTTTCTGATACAAATGAATGACAGAATATTTGTATAAGTTTACCTTCTTTGGAACGTCAGTGGAATTTGTTAAAAATATCGGTAAAAAAGCAAGCCATATAATGCATGTGGTGTACATTGTGAACCCTGAAAATCATATACAAGGTATTAAATATATAAACTATACGACAATTTTTTTTTGGCATATATTAAATATTTTTATCGTTTGTACATTGGGTGTACATTGGGCTGACCGTAAAGCTAAAAATGATTCAATGAAAAAGACCAGATTACTTACCTTCTCCCTAATGAAGTTTGCTGACAAGCATGAAGTCTGATTACAATTGGTATTTCGCATAATATCATACCATATACATTTACCATTTAATCACATCATTTACATAAAAAGCTTTGATCATCTGTGTAAAATACCGGTAATTTAGTATCGAGAAATACATTTCGTTCATTAATTTTGCCTTATCCATTTTGAACTTACCCACGTAGAGAGTTTCTTTGAATCCAGTGGGTACGTTTCTATTAATTGTTGCCAGAACAGTACAAACAACAATGATAATGAACGGGTAAATAAGTCCTACGAGAATCTCAATGTCGACTAATACTTTGCATGTTAGAAAAGCAAAATCATCGAATACTATGAGATCTATTGTTGGTTGTTTTAATCTTGACCAAATAATTAGAATCAGAATCTGCACCGACGATACTGCAACCGTTATCAACGTAAATTGCACTGGCTGGAGATATTGTTTTGTCTGTGAAATAGCAATTTAAAGTTATTTGATCACGAGAAAGAAATACTGGTATCAACTGAATTGTTTGTCACACTAATATAATGCAATAGAAAGCGGTTTCTTGGACGACGTGTTGCTTAGTTTCATATACATTTATCATTAATAAAAGTTTGGCTTTATGCACTTTCATTTGTATGTTATTCAAAAATGAATGGCGGAAATTGGGAATATTTTACAGCATAATCACAAATCTTTGTCATGCAGTGATGGAATTGCCACGCGATTGCTCAACATCCAACCCACAGTGTTTAATTATGTTTCATTTCTGAGAATTGGTTATATTTGAATATTTTTGTTCATATGATACCCAACACTCATATGACTTCAATAGAAATACTGATACATAGATAAGTTTCTTGATTTTTAATCGATAAATTTTTTTTTTTGCTGAGCTAATTGTAGTGACCAAAAGGTTGGAGGTAGATGGAAACGAAGATTTCATAACGTAACTGCTTCAACGTACCCGTGTGGTTAAAATTCCGCTTGACTGAAATATGAACACGACTCGTATCGTTTTCATCAGCAAACCAACGTACATGCATGTAGGTCCTATTGACAAGATGACACGCGATGTTGTACATGAAAGATTACTAGGCGTAGATGTCACGGAAAAGCAGTTTAGTAGAGTGATGAAAATACCGAATAACACAAAGAAACAAAGTTCCTGAAAATGTATGGTATTGGGTTTTTAGATTTGTTGCATTTTGATCCTATATCTAAACCTAACAAATAAATTATATGTAACACTATTTCGTTTAAACTAATATTTCATTCCTACGATTACCACGTTATAAAATTCAGTTTTTTGGTCATTATAAACGTTTACCTGCAAAATCTGCAATGACTTTGCAGATTTTTATTGAGTAGCTGATACCAGGTTGTTCGACAAACTATTAAAAAAAATTAATGGCAAAACGAAGTGAGTGGTGTTGCTTTTTACAATACCTAATCATTTAAATTCTGTAGTCCAAGCCAATTTTTACGATTATATTTCTAGAATCAAAAACTGTTTTTACTACCTTTCCAGATGCTCTTACTATCGCCGTTTCTCTGTACTTGATAAAAATGAAGGTGATATAAATTGTCGACAAAAGACCAAATACTCCAAATGACAACGCAAATAATGAGTGACCTGAATTATATTCCATTTGTCTGTAAAATTGAGAAAATACCAAAAACACGTTTCCAATTTATCCACTTAATTCAGCTAAACAGTTCTTTGGTTGTATTAAGTTATCTTCAAATTTAACGCAAAAACAATTCGTATCATCTCTTGTAAATTGTAATAATAATGAGCTCCAAATAAATAATGGATGAAACTGACTAGCGTTTGCACAGTTTGTAACCTATGTTACCTTATCGGTAATGGTTCGCATCCATTTACATGTTTGTTAGGTTTGTCTCCGAAGTCGCATTTTTGACACGCTGTCTCGTTATACACAAACTCCTGTGCAGTGCACTTTTGGCAATACCAGCAACATTTCTAAAATTTAAATTGACATGAAAACTTAAAAATTAAAACCTAATTTTTTTTCTCTGATTATCATAAAACCTTTTTACCGAATAATACCAGGTCGTTATATCTGCCAAAGTAACACGACGAATTTACATGTCAAAGACCATGGCATAGACAGAATAACCAGTCGAGCATTTTTCGTGCCTATACTATTATTATTCATCATCCAAAGTCGACGTAATGAAAAATTTGACATTTTGTTTGATGGTATAAACTAAATATCTATCAAAAATTATATATTTTGACATATTCAAAAAATGACGATATGCCAATACAGATTACCAATTTAATAACAAAAAGAGTTCACATATTTTTGCGTCTCACCTGAGTTCCGCGTATTTGAGCTTCTCCGTGTTTACACTTTTGACTGCAGGTGGATGGAGTCAAGTAAATCTTATCCGGAAGTCTCGTATCCCATTCGATAGCTGACCCCGAATATCAATATAATTTGAAATATATTTTAAATTTTCAATACTTAGCGATGGTAGCCTCAAGAAAAAGCCGTTTTTATTTTTATTTTCAAAATTGAGTCATATGCGACCATTTGTATTATCCAAAATTTATTAAAATTTATGGTATCATTTTTTATGGAATATGTGAACAATATTTTGTCTTTCGTGTCTGCCTATAGTCGAGCATTGCTTCCTCATATTTGTAATTACATGTTTTGCTTACCGCTATCTTGATATGTTCCTATTTTCGACCAACCATCCAGTAAATTAGTTGAAGTGTTTGCAACATGTTGTTTCTTGAACACAAATACATCATATATTGGAGGTCCATCTTGATTCTTGTCAAATTTAAACTGCGAACCGCCAGAGGCTGTTATACAAATGACAAAATTAGTTTAGCATACTCATTTCAGTGAAATTTGCAATAGATATATATTAAAATGTATTTGTTAATAATAAATTAATAATAGTTGGTAGGAACATTTCAAATGGCATCAACAAGTATTATATAACTTTACATCTTATTAACTATTACATTGGTTACATATCCATTGAGTAATATGAATGCAAAAAAATGCAAAATAAGTGTTTAATTTATTACAACAAACGACAATACGATGAATAAAATCTCATTTTGAGCTCAATAATTTGTCATTCTCTATACTAAAAATAAAGTTTAATAAAAATATTGAAAATGGATGGAAGAGGCCATACTTGTAAACGAAACGTTTTTCAAATGATAATAGAGTTCACTTGCAACTTGATGTGTTCCTGCTTTCTGTTTGATTTCATCACACAAACCAGCTTTACCGCCACAGATATTTTTATGGTAATCATCCAAGGCATATACCATTGCATACACGGCGTCTGATATAGGCTACAATAAAATAATGAAATAGATTAAAACAAAAAAAAATTCGGACTTCCAGAAGTATGCGCACCAAGATGGCGCACAACCTGAACATAGTATGTGTGTACCGGTTAAGATTCAGGTTGTGCGACATCTTGGTGCGCATACTTCTGGAGCACCAAAAATTCTATTAACGTCATTAGAATTATTGATTTAATGCGAGTCTCGTAAAAAATAGGCATTGAACTTGTGGCTTTGAAATATCCTAATAATATACAACATATAATGTTGAATGAAAATTTGAATTTATCCAAAATCTGTCTGCTTTTCTGCTCTACTAACTATTACTACTTCTGCTCACCTAACCTTTCGATGTCATGGACGCTTGACCATATGAATCAACAAATTGTTACACGGATTTTTTGATTGCAAAATTTGCATAATTATATTCATACTTTCCATACGTAGCTAAATATAATATTGTTCACAATGAATATAATTATAATATATTCATAATACCAAACACGTTTATGAAGATAGAATTCTTCGTTGATAACACGTCTTGTGTATAATATTCTTTCTACATACCGAGAATGAAGTACTTTTCCATTTGGTCATTTAGTTTGGCTCTAATATGTCATAATTATTTCAGCAACTGAAATAGCTTGTTTGTTTTAAAAATTTCTGTATCTTCATTCTCATTATTATACGCAAAATATTGAGTTTATTTCTTTAATTATCTATGATTTTTCACTCCAATATCTAATTAAAAATAAAATAATGATTTCTATCTCTAATTGAATTCTCACTGTGTTATGAATCCGAAATGTTGTTGCATTAATCTTTTCATCTCCATCACATATTCTTTTACTTGAATTGCTTCCATTTTCTGTTAACATATTATATACATATAAAGAATACAATATTCAATTATGTAGGAAGCTTCGCTTATTGAAAATTATTCTTATGTAACTCTCGTTGGTCTGACATTATCCAAGTAAGATGAATGACATCTATATGCAAAATGAGTGCGATTAGGAAAGCGTGGGAAAACATATGTTTTTCAATAAAACAAAATATATTAAGAAAGTTTCATAAATTGGAACTTAATATTCAAAATCTCCCACGTTGTGAATTATAACCTCATTCGAAGATTACTTATGAATCCGTTGCAAAAACTTTCCAATGTACGAAAAGTGAAATTAAGCTTAGGTCTTGAAAAAGTCAAAAGTTTCACCATTGGTCACAGAGGTATAATCAAAACAGAATAATAAGAATATTGAATGAATATGAACGGCGTTGATTCAGTTTATGCAAATTATAAATATGAGCATGGTTACAAAAACGAGAGATCAATTTTCGATACTACGAATTTTCAATTTTCGATGGATACGAAGACCAAAACGAAGTAGTGCGGGTATCTGATCTTTTAACCTAATGACCTCGGGTGTCCCTGGGTCATTTTGACACCCCTCTATAATTTTTTTAATATTCCACCAACCCAAAATGCCAAAAACATCATTAATGTGTCCTTAAAGTAGAATGCCGGTTCCGTAATCTTCCCGACTTCGCCTGGCAACCAGATAGCCACGAACGCGAATACGGAACCGCCACATGATGCTCAATTTTTAAATTTGATGATGTCATCAAAAAATCCCATAGAGCACACGAAAATTTTTAAAATAAATGAAAGTAAAAGACTTCTAGAAACAACAACAACAATATTTAACTACTGCAAATTTCAAAGTCATCGGTCCAGTATTAAAGAGAAAAGCATGTTTTTTACAACAACACTAACAAAAACAGAAAAGAGTACGAACTACAACAACAACATAACAACAAAACAATCCATAGGTCCAGTTCTTGTCCATAAACGTATATATATTGCAGTTTTTCATTGCGAAAAGATCAAGTGATAATATACTGCTACTGCTGTTTGTCATCTGTATTAGTTCTGATAAAATATCAAGAAGTATAATTCAAGTAGCATTATAAAACAAACCTGAAAGTAAAGAACAGTTGTTTTTCCGACTAAAATACTCAGCAAACCAAGGATTTCTCGTTGAATTTTCTCCATAGTTTTGGGACAACGTAAGATTTGTCATGTAATCTTTTAAATTCTCTTTTAAATTGATTTTTGGCAAGAATCCAATCGTACCTGGAATGTTTAAAAGAAAACATTAGATCAAATCCACAAAAAGTTTGCCAAAATCCCCAATGATATTAGTATGATTGATCCCATAAAGCACACCATACAGGAAAAGCAGAAAATTTGAAAAAATCTTTAATAATAATTTACAACAACTTATTCCTATTAAAATGCCCCTAAAACTTGAGTCACGATTCATCCGAGTCACAAGTCGAGTCTAAGTTCGAAGTCGAATCACTAAGATAAGTTTCACTGATAATTAGTTGAGTACGAACCAGAGTCTTAGATAAATAGTGACGCAAGTCCAATTTGAGTTGAGTTAATTACTCAAGCACCAACATCGCTGATGTGTTTTAATGATTAGGATTGTGGATGAGCGTTTTGAACTGAATAGTAAATCATATGTATCGATCAGACGAAAATTTCAAATATCCACCATCTTGATATTTTTCAGCCAAAGGTCTAAGTTAACTCCTCTGTTTTTTTATTAAAGCTATATTTTTTCAATCCAATTCTGGCATATGACTCTTTTCTTCCTAATGAGTTATTGAAGAAACGTGTTTTTAAAGAGTGTAAACGCCGTGTGTAAACTGTCTGGGTGATGGATTTTATATTTCCAGTAATTTACGTGTTGATAGCACCCATTACAATAAAAAAAATCACATACAATTATATATCTACCAAGTATTCAAAATTCTATTCAAAATATCCAGTCCTCAACACGATTTATTTATATAGACTTGTAATTTCACAATTTGTTCATTGTGAAAAATAATGCATAATACTTTAATAAAAAAAATCCATTATTCGTACCATCTATTACATCTAAATACGAATCGTCTGTGTGATCCTGAGGTATATACGATATCCATCCATCAGATCCAATCCAAATCAAATTTTCAACTGCTTCTGGAATGGATTGTGCGGCAACAAATACCTTTTCTGCGTTTCCAGTGTTGGAGAATACAACAACAACTAAAACAAAGCACGATCGAATAATTTACGTAAATTTATAATTATCAACAAATCGTCGATAAATATCATAAAAATTCGGGTATAGTTACTTGTTAGATATTCTAGAGTTATAAATGAACACTGACATAGATTATATTCAATGACTGAAATTATTATAATGTAGTTGTTAGGAATTGCAATTTGATTGGTATCCTATTGTTTCCAATTTTATTTCAATGGCGAGCAAATTTTTTGTTGCAGAATGATGATTATTTTACGTATTTTTCTAAATTTTAACCAAGCTTTATAATGAATTTATCTCACTGTTATATATTTGATTACTAGTTTTCGGTATTGAAATTTTTCAAGGTTTCCGACCTAATTTATGATTATGAGTCTTATCAATTAGACAGTGCCTCGATCTTATTATTGTGGAAATATAGCACGATTAAGAGCAATCCAGATAACTAATATAATTGAACATAAAAAAATGAAATATTTGTGAAAAATAGTTCATTTAACACAGATATTGAAATGTTACACTGTATTTAAAATATTTCTTCTCACCTCTTGCGTTCTTTCTTGCCAGCAACTCTTCTATAACGAGTGTCATATTTATATCCTCCCCTATCATTGGTAATGCTTTTGTGAAAGCTATACAAATATTATTTTTTTCCGCTTTACGAGTGAATTCTGTAAAAAATTGAATGTGGAATTATTGAAAAAGAAAGTTTTAAAACTGCAATGAATAAAATCATTTCAACTTATGTAGTTATTGAACCAAAAACTATTCTTTAAAATTCACAATATTTCAAAAATATTATTTTAAATACGAACCTGTATATCCATCGACTCCATAAGCATCATCGTCATAAATAAAAGAAATATAATTCCATTCCATTTCCTTTATGAATGAGATCATGGCATCAACCTAGAAAACATTGATGAGATTATAATAAATCTAGAGTTTACAAACATAACTTTTCGGCATATAAAAATATTGATATAATTTGATGCGAATAACTGTTCAAAAAATCATTATAAGATCTTACGTCGGTTATTCGTGACTGCAAACTATAGAATTATTTGATCTCTTGTGTAATAGGACACGGAGTGTACACATAGATCGTTTTGTTATTATTATTATGCTGTTGTCATTTAGTTGTGAAAAATCGCTTGTCTCATTAATTAACTACAAGACTAATTGCATTGAAATTTTCGATGGTTAAATATTGTATTTGTCACTAGGAGACTATCACTTTTATTTATTTCAAAATCTTCCCGTGGCCTCTGTGGGATTCTTTTTTCTATCTGATGTTTTGTGTGGTGACGTCAACAAAATTAAAATCAAAATTAATTGTAGCGGTTCCGCGACCTCATGTCAGGTCGACGGATCTCGTGCTCTGCGAAAGTCGTTAAGACTGCGGTACCGGCAGTCTGCTGTGACAAATACTCGCATGCCCGTACTACTTTGTTTTGGCCTCCGTGTGGATATATTTGCTGTCTTATTTAATTACAGAAATAATAAAACGTTGATGCACACCATTTGTAATAATTAAATACTCTGCATTATGACGGTATAATCGGACAAAAGTCCGAGTCAATCAAGTCTCTGTTATAAATTATTTCAGTACCGTTCATGTTACATGACGTACTGTGAGGTAAATAAAACGAAAAATCGGAAAACCTAATCAACATATAACCAATAGTAGACCATAATTAAGTTTTGCACAAAAATATAAACTACGATGTTAAAGCAGAGTGTTTACCTGGTGTATGTCGGGAGCAACTGACCGGAAAAAATATTCAAATCTTGTTTTGTCACTCAACTCTGAACTTGTCGACCAATAACTAACCTAATAATATTCATAAAAAAAATTTTGCAAAAAAATTTAATCTATACATTTCTGTTAGAAATGATGTTCACTTATAATAACATTATAATTATATCTGTGAAATATTATATTCTTGGTGTAGACATCCAGAAATAAGAAAGGTGAGATACAAATTTTGGAACTACTTCGAAATATGCTTACTGTTACAGAATTTGATAAAACACAAAGTGAGGAATAAATAAATATTTACTTCCATGCACGGAATAGTAGTTTTTAAGAGAGTTTCTGGAAAAATTTCAGACAACAATTTTGATAAATATGCGATCTGAATAGACATATACATTATCTTACTCATACCTGCGAAATATGGAAAACTTGTAATATAGTTGCAAGCTGCATAGATACTGAACTAAACGATGCGCCGATCAATCCTGGAAATGAAAAACAAACCAATGAAACCAATAAAATTGTGGTACTATATCACAACTTTTTTAGTATTTTTTAGTTTTATTGAATTTCCAGGACGATTAAAGCCCATTAATGATTGTACTAACATCAAAAAAGTGAAAAATAAAAAACAATGACACAGATAATATTTTATTATAATAGTTGAACCTGCTAAAATATGCTTCTTTGAATCTTCGTCGGAACAATTTTGTCCGCATATTCTTTTATCCAATGCAAGTGGTAAAATATCCATGATAACCTAAATACACAAACATTGAATAATCAGAAAAAATGAAATTTATTATACACCAAAATGCTCCATTGGCAAGCCTTGAGGAAATATGCTGGAAATCATTTAAAATACATTTTAATAATATCCAGTCGTGAAATTACATTTTAAGAGCCTGGCCAATAACACAAACGCGGAACCGCCACAAAATGCGCAACTATTAAATTTGATGACGTCATATCACAAAAAAAACACGAAACCTACAGAAATTTTCAAATTAAATACCGTGTTTCCCTGAAAATAACACTGGGGCTAAAAATCGATATCCATTTACAACAAGTTTTTTTATTTAAAATAACTGATAAACATGGAAAATATTAATCATGAAATCGTATAGAAGAGATTTCTTGCTATCGACAAGGCCAAAAAGAAATATTCGCGCTATCGACTAGGTCTTTTTTTAAGGGGAAGGCTTATATTAAAATCATTTTTGAAATTCAGAGTAGGTCGTATTTTCGGGGAAACACAGTAAAAGTAATAGCTTTCTAGCAATAGATAGAAGCTTATTGTGGATTTTTTCGAATCCGCATGCCTGATATTAGCAGTAAACTTATTACCCTTTTCAATGCATGCACATCGGAGCTACATGTATCGATCATTACCGTTCCTAGTTTTATTCCAGTCAGTATTTCGTCATTCGCGTTGATCTGAAAATGATAAGTAATAATTTAATAAAAAAAACCTTAGAACAGCACTTCAAATGCTTTTCAATAATGCAATCCTCTTTCCGTTTGATTGTTGTAATAGAAGAATACTTCAGAGATAGCATTATTACATTCGATAGTTTCAATTTTGAACTTGGATAATAAAGTACAAATGCTCAATCCATAATATATTGCATACACTGAGAACTACATGCAATATTTATGAGACAAAACGGCGTTTCAAAGAACCACGACCGCACTTCTGAGGCGTGTAACAGGGGTAAACTCGAGATAACACGCTGCTGATACCACGATAAAAATAATCAGGTTGAAAATGAAAAAAAAAAGATGTCAAAAGATGGATTTTTTTCCAGAAATCATTTTTGTCAAAATCAAACTGTTTCAAATTTGAATTGCAAAATGTGCTCTATGTATACGCAGCGGTATATAAACGTACAGAAAAAAAAACGTGCGTTGGACATGCAACTTTGCTCAAAAACGTCTTTGAAACAACACCGAGTATTATACAGAGGTGAATCTGTATGTAAACAGAATTTAAACTACAAGATAACGTCTTAAATGCTTTTATCAAAGGGCGGAATAAATACTAATATACAAATATTAGTTATGAGAATTACAATTTAGAATTCTGACGGCATTTCAAAAAATACCATTCGACTAAAATAATGTTTTTTAGCGTTTTCAATAAAACCAAATCTTCTGGCAAAATAAATTATGATGATTATCCTCTAAGCTGGTTTTTAACGTTATTTTTAACAAATATTGAGTAATTTTTTTTACAAAGAACACATACCTCGTCAATGATCATGTTCATTGTTTCTACCAGATACATTCCTGTCAATTCTTCTACACAATCTCCATTGGCATTTTCATTCGTGACTTGCATTGCAGCGCCGAGTATAATATCGCCATCTCTAAATTGCATTGGTGCACCAGATCGTGACTGCAAGGAAATTAAAATTTTGGATATTGTGGATGAAATCATATTTTATTGGAGGAGAAGTGTACATATGGATCATTTGCTAAATTGTTGTGGTTTTCCGTTGTTGTTGTTGTTGTTTTAAAAACCACTTCTCATGGCGACTACTGAACCAACTGATTCAAAATTTTTAGTCTTTAGAGATGAAAGAAGTCGCTAGAAAGCTATCACTTTTATGTTTTCCTATGGGACTTGGTATTTTACCCATAATTTTGCTGTTTTATTTCAATTATATGGCATATGGAAAAACTTTCATGATACATTTAACCTTTAACCCTGTTCGTTAACCTCATTTTATTTTAGATATTTTGCGCTGTCCCGCCAATCTTTTATTCTATAAGTCATGTATACAAACGGATTTTGACGATCCTATACCAATATCGCTGGGATTAATGATGGTAATAAAACTTTGTAAATATTGTAAATGAATATAATCTCACCTGCTTCATGTGCTGGCTTCCAATCAGATGTTCAGCGCTTTGGCTCGCTGTAAATAAAAGTAACGTTCAAGAATTACATAATTACTCCTAATCTAAACATTTAATCAGTCATGTACAATATGAATCAGTCCAGATCTATTTTACTGTACATTTGTCTCTACTCTGTTAATCATAAACCATGCATGGGCATGTCATAATAAAACGCTCTTCCTCATTTACTTGGCAAGCTTGTTTAAACAAACAGTGGATGACGTTGTGTAATTTATCTACGCGATATGTACGGATCAATCTTGATTGTATGAATAATTAGTCCATTATATAAACAGCAAAGTTATTCAACTTTTTCGTGGATTGCTGATTATAGCAACCGTGTGAAACATAGTTGCTCGGAGCTAGTGATAAACTTTTACATTGAATGAAGTTTTATAGTATAAGTGAGGTTTCGTTCTTGCTGAAAACAGCACAAAAGATTAATGGTATGTTGGTATATATAGTTTGGTAACAAATGGCTGAGAGAATAAACACGATTTTGTTTATGTAAATTTTATTACAGTATATAAACACATATTGTATTTGTTATTTTTTCTACGCATACTACATAAACTACATCTCATTTGCTTATACATTAAATGATTAAACTTTAATGATTAATGATTAAAGAATATTCTATTAATCATAGCGTGTTTTCCAGATATTTCTATTTTTAGTATGTAAAAGAGGTTAGAAACATTTTAGCGGGTGCAGTTGAAAGAAAGAGCATTGTAAAATACATTAGCTTGTAGCAAATGTTTAAGTTTATCAATCAGAGCAATGTAGTATGAGTATCTTTCTTATAAACGTAGTCATTGTGATCGACAAAGAGAATGAAATTTTTATATCCATCTGGGGGGAAAGTTAATTCGACAAGATTACTTACTCTCGTTCCAGAACATTTTAGGTTGAGTATTGTGACAGTTGGCTAGTTACTTGTTCTATATGTATGGATTATGGCGGTAGAAGAAGCCGCGGTTGAGTGAACCATTCAAAAACGGCATTGGACCTATACGAACCGCGCAAGGTAATCATCGGTTCGGTCGGTGATCATATCTCAGCGATCTGTTGGTCAGACTAACGGTACTGTAAAAGATTTATTACTACATCGTTTTGGCCTTGTGTTCATATGTTTGAGCATTATTCTTTTGTTTTAGGTATGTTTGCATTTTAGCTATGAATCTGAATTTAATTAGGGTAGAACACATCGCGCTTGTTGCTAAATAATATTAATACTATTCAATTATTTGCGGCATATAAGTATTGCCTCGCTGTTGAGAATACTATCATATTATTCCAAAATCGAATAATTGATTGTTATCTTGGGAATACGTAATAAGCATCTTCAAATATTCACACACAAATATGACATTTCGACACAAAACGTTTTTTTTTCCTAACCTGATAACAGCGAGTTTGGGCATATTAGCTTAAAATAAAAAAAAAATTGACTCACCTACAAAGACAAAACAAAACAATGTCCGTGATAAAACTGACATTATTGACATTTCTGCAGTCAAATAATTTGCCAATTCAATAATTCCTCCTTTTTGTTCATTTGCAGTCTACTCAGTTACAACCTACAGTTTGTATCATTTATAATTGATGTCGTAAAATTTTGAAGCTTGTGCGTTGATAATCTGTTTCCCAGTAATCATGTCGTTTTCGCATAATTTATTTTTGAATAATAATACTTTAAACTTTGACAACAACGAACAAAATAAAAATATATTCACTGAATTGGATTTTATGCATGTTTACTATTACTTTGAAACACGTATTTTGCGAAAAAGGTAAAATTTACCATAGATCATAGCTATCATTCATTATCAGCGAACAACATTCTGAGAACAACAACTAATTTTTCAGCTTGGGTTGACAATTGCTAATGAATTAGCGAGCTCGTCAAATTTGAGTGACATTAATAATATTATTAACCAATATTCAGTCTGTTGTATATCTGAGTTACACCGACTCGATAGCCATAATTCGTAATTATAGTGCGTTACTATGCTAAACTTCAACATTTTATAAATTTGCACAACTTATCACCGCCATCATTTTCACAAAAATAATGTGAGAAATCAATTTTTCGTTCCAGATGAACGAACTTTGTGATAGATTGATTGCGCGCTAAAATGTTGCTAATGTTGACAAAAATGAAAAATGGGCATGTGCAAATCGACAATATTGCCTTAAATTTTCTTGTCTTTCTACAGACATTTTCACTAAATGGACAGGGCAGTCGAATATATTTTGACATAATTACTAAATAAATGCTCAGTTGCATGTGTTGCTGAATATTTTGAGTCACTGACTCTTCCATATCCGTATGTTCATTAATAATTTCAAATTTTGATCGCACAAAAGTGTGTTTCCGCATAAAAATATTATTTCTATATTTTCATTTATATAGTAAGCTATGCGTCACTCATTTTTTTAATCCTGCTAAAAAATAATATACAGTAGTAGTTGCACTCATGACCTGACTGAATATATTTATTTTTAACCTGCATCTGAACTCCAGTCTGCATTTAATGTATAATGGTTTGAGGGCCTTCCAGGTAAAAACAACGCGATGCAAGAGACCGAATCGGGTTACGTCTATCTAGCACTATCAAAGCGCTCGTAAAGTTTACCAAAAATTCAAGATCTCTACAAAATAGTAAACTTTCTAGTATAGATGTCTGAATTTAAATTCTCGACTTCCCTATACTGATCAGAGACAGTTCAACTTCGTTTAACAATATTTTTCATACGATTTCAAAATGTTTTCGTATCTTAACTCCCTGAGGATATTTATGTATTTTGACTTGGGGCAATTGACTTCCGTATACTTGGAAGTCATCATTGCTAGGTAATTCTATCTTTCGTGGGCATTCTACCAGAAAGTAATTTTCTCTCAACAGTTCTGGTTTGAACATCGACGAAAAGACCATGGCCTGATATTTCATAGATATACCAACTCCTTTAAGGTAATTGTCAAATTGACTCAATTTTACGATAAAAATATTTTATTTGTTTTTATAGGAAAAGTTGAAAGTGAATTCTTACAGTAGCAAAAATATTGAGTGAAATATTGTATACAAATTTAGTCATCAGGCGAAAGCATATCTCGATCTATATCCAAAGATATCTAATCCAGATCCCATGCATAGAAAACAATTATCTGGTTAATGATATCATAATTGGACTGCTAGAAAGAAGCGTTGAAGACCGTGGTTCGTCTTATACAAGGTGTCATCTGATTGAAATGCTTACTTTTTCCGACAACATATAAAAGTTATATTTAGAATCCTAATTTTAAATAATCATTGCTTATCGGACAAACAGGTTACAGGTGAAATTTAATTAATTATTATCTCTAGTGCTTCAAAAAATCTTCAAGATATATCCTCATATAGTTTCCTCCATTTTTCTAACAATTTGACTTCGTATATAGAAATTAATTATCAACTAATAAATAAATCGTACTGATTAATTAAAATCAAAACTATCGTCTTCATATATTTGATTCGGCCGTCAGTTGTTTTACTTAATAATCGCATTTGCTGTAAGGACGCGCTTCCGCTTTACTGCCCATTCAGACGCACGTTAGCAAGAATATCATGCAAAATATTATAAGCTAAAACTAATACAAACAACTACCGGTCGAATTATTCTTGTTTCATTGCTTACAATTTATTACTCGCTTTCCATCAAATAATACGACTTGAATTTAAACTCATTTATTGAATCTCGCTTTTTTTTAAAAATATTAGCGATATCTCAATTCCGTGGAAAAAATCATAATAAGCATGGTATAAGTTTAAAATTCAGCAAAGGTTTTACCAAAGGCCCAAGTAAAACAATTTATCTGAGGGTATATAAAATAACGAGGCTAACTTGGTTTTTATTATTTATGCTACAAGCCCATATACAGTAAATCAAATTCTCATCTCTACATTATAACTACATACCGTCAACTTAAAAAATTGTATTATCATTTCCAGCTGAATATATAACTAGACAACGTTGCTTGCCAGTGAAGATTAAGATAATCAATTATTTATATTTTGTTAACTGTTCAAATGAGCAGCAGGCGATAAAGTTTATATACTCAACACACGTTTTAAAACCTTCCATATATATTTGCTTCTTGTATAATTTGTGAGTCATGGCGTTGCTCAATGCTTCATCAGGAGACTTCCATTTTTAGTTAACAAAATGTGTTAGATAAAGTTGCATTTATAGGTCATTTCTAAAGTAGTATACCACTTTGTTCGTTTATCAGTGCAAAGCAAATAGGATAATTTTTTGTAAGGTGGTGACAAATAATCATTCATTTACATAAGTAAAAATGAAATATTACAGTATCATTTTTATGTCATTGACTCAACAAATGTTATTGCTCCCGTTTGTCTTGAACAATCAGTACAACAGCGCCATATAACCACCAACTTTTTTATTACGTCAAATTCGTTCTTATTTATACCTTTTTGCCTGGATATTGCCATTCTTACCGTAATATGAACGTTTGACTTTTGATCGTATTCGAGGATTTGAACTTCTGATCATATTTGTTAGTGAAATAAAAATATCTCCTTCTATCTAATTTTGTTTTATGAAAACTAAAACCGATGATTCTGGGGGAACATAAAATAAATTACAGAAGATGATATATATTTTTGGGTAAAAACTTGGTAAATTCTACTGTACCGCAATTATTGAAAAAACAAAACACTGTCATGTCCTGAATTTTAAACTGGTCGTTTGTTTCTTAAATTTGGAGGCCGAGTCAAGTAAAGCAAATGAGAAATTGGAATCAAAATGATCATTGTTCATATTCCATCTTGTTTGTAAAGAAGTCTTAGAGCGAATTATCGTTTTTACCTCAAATATAAACTATTCAATTCCACCGATATTAAGTGTAGAATGTACATATTTATGGATAAAAGGTTTTAGTGTGTCATAACAGTGAAATGTAGGAAATATAACGCAATTATTTATAAATTTATGATCAGTATATGAGGAAGAGTGATGTTTTATCGTGCATAAGAAAATACTGTATCAAAAATGCCATTTTGAAACAGCAAATGTTTATTTGTAACATATATTGTCATTTAGAAACGTTGTTGCATCGGGACAGCGTCCGAGACTTGCGTTTATAGTTCAATTTTTGCCTGATATTCGCTACACGTAGCCTTATGTATTCCGCACGTTGAAGACATCACAAATGTGATCATGGGTGAAACGTTCCGCGTTGTCGATTTCAAATAAAATAAAATTCAAACCTGGGTTACGTCAAAAAATACCTAGTCAAAACATGTTGAACTAAATTGAGAAGGACCAAATCATGTTGTGGTATATAGCGGGTTTCATTTTTGAACACGACCCAAGTCCAAACACGACACTACAACTAGTCAACTCAAAAACAGATTCGGACTCGGGAAATCACTTCAACCAATCATTTCTACGCGAGGTTGGGATGGTAATATTGTGAGATTTGGGTAATGCTAAATTTGATTACTGTCTAAAAACTTGACAGCGCATACGAACCTTGAAACCTTGATTACGGCTTCCTCCGCCATAAAATTCATGCATCTAAAAACAAAAATTAACTGGCTAACTAATCCCATACACAACATAGACTGATAACAGGGCGAGAGATTGTGGCTCATCAGATGATTGAGTCGTCTTAATTAACGGCTTTCCTCTCCCCGGGGATAAATATGTGAATCCTATGCTATCTATACTATTGAGCATACTTTAAATCAGGGGTCACCAACCTTTTCGAGGCCGAGGGCTACTTTCTGGGTACAGATTATGCCGCGGGCTACCAATCCAATGTACACTTCTAAAAAGTCGCAGCTGTGTGGCCATCGTTAGTGTGCTAAGCGTTAGGTTCGCGAGGATAGTTATGTGCAAGAGGATTGCTGGACCCCTTGCTGCCGTTGGGATGGCCCGGGATAAATATGTAAATCCCATCCTATCCTGAGTTTATGTCAAAAATGTTGATTCACAAAGATAGGTTGAACGAAAGAATGGTCTCGTAAAATAGAATTGCTGTATGATTTGAATCGCGAGCTTTTTCTGTCCGTACTGCGCTGGATAGTTAGCGCGGTAGATTGCGTGACAAGCCGTGAAATATCTTTTCGCTTGCCGTCGCTTCAATCGCCCCACAGATGAGACACGCGCAGGCTGTTTTCATGTTGGTAAAAATATATCCACCCCCAATCATCGTGAAAATGGTGGGTTTTTCATCGTTTTCTGCCATTTTTCTTTGGAATCAATAATTATAATATTGCTGCTCCACAAACCAACGGAAAAGAAAAAGCGCGGGTTCGTAGTAAGTGATATCAGTTTGATGTCATAATTGGAAGAGTGTTAATTGACCCGTCACATTACTGAGGGTCAAATAAAAATCAGGTTGATGGCTACAATAATTAATATAGTGCCATTCCCGATTCCCATATAAGTGTGATTTATACAAAAATAGCAGGACAAAATTTAATCGATGTAGCTTACTCATAAGCGCCGTTATTAAGCTCAGTTTGGAACAGACCTGCGGGCGACTTATATGGTCTTCACGGGCGACTTGGTGCCCGCGGGCAACGCGTTGGTGACCCCTGCTTTAAATCATGAACTTCTCTTATCTATAATAGTTGAGTTCCATACTTTTTAATATTAAAATTTAATAATAAGTCCTCGCCGCACACCGCCCCTTGCACGTAGGGCACATCCATGATGTTGGCTATGTCGCCCATGGACGACAGTTATTACAAATCGCGATTGGATTTCCATTTCCCGACAAGTTGCTGTTTATCGGTTACGCTCTGACGGCATGGACGACAAAGGAAGTAGCGCTATTTTGGGAAATTTACAGTTTAAATTAAAAGTGGGGTAAGTTAACTGTAACGAGGAAGTCGTGTCATGTATGTATAGAATATATCCAATATGTAGTTTTCGAGTTCCGAAAGAGTTTAGTCATGTAACAGCATAACAGAGTCATATACAGAAATAGCATATTTAATTGTTCATTCGTATATTCTCTCAGTTGAATATATTTTTATATATGTATCGTGTTCATACATTGGGAGTGGTGGAACTGAATCCATATGCATTTCCTGTAGTTGGAAGGAGTTCTAGATTTACTGTTCACAATATAAGCCCTTTTTGTCTGTATTATTGAATAGCTTTGATAGGCAAATAAGTATTTAAATCGTGTCGCTCATCGCCTAAGGTGTAGTTAGTTATTCGATAGTAAGCGTAGATCGATAATTGTATAAAAGAATGAGATTATAATGCTGGAGATATATTCTCGTCGTCGTTTCTGAATTGGTGAATTTTTTTTAAGTTTTCAAACTTTTAAAATGATAAGCGTGTAGAAGTAATCTGGCAATTTGTTAGCACGTTTCGTAAAATTCAAACGACTACAACTAAATCCTTCTATGTGTTATTTGTATATAATTCAAATGAATTGAATTTGAATATTGTCTCCCGAAGTTCAATTAATTTCTATTGTGGCACTTAGACAAAATTCAATTGGATGTTTGATATGATTTATGTTTTGATTTGTTACATCCGATGTGAGTCGTGACTTGTCTCAGTTCGACTGCAATGAATCAAATTTTGGAAGAAAAAGCGCTGACAATCGCTTTGAAAAATGGGCGAAATCGGGACAATTTTTGTAATTACGGTAATGGTTATGCATTACGCGTCTGTGCTATAATCTGTGGTGTTTGGAATATGTTAGCTAAGTTCAAGCTTACACCGGAAATTATCTGATAAAAATCAAGAACGTAAACGAGCTCAGTTGAAAAAAACAAGGATAGAAATGAATATTTCATGCTGGCTGGATGAGAGCTCCCATATATCGCTTTAGCAAATAACCGCAAGCATTCATCGAGCCACTTTGGTACATTCAGGGGATTTTGGTTACTTTTGGTATAGTTTCTACCAGTATAGTGTAAATTTTGCGTAATCGTAGTCATGCAACTAAATTGTGTGAATGTGAGGTCAGTTATTAAATACTTAGGATTGAAAAACTCATATTACCATTACCAAACATTGCATATTACCCTATGTAATTCAATCTCTAACAAACCTTCATTTCCAATTCATGATTAGTACATATTAAACGGCTAACCTATTTATTAATGATAGGTAATTCAATAGATATTTTCAGAGTTAACTTTTTGTGATTGTTGAAATCTAAGCTAAAGGTAAAACGTAGTACAGGAAAATCTAGGTTTTTTAATTCTTGTTTATGTCTCACCCAGGCCTACCAATGTAGCTAGTCTCCAGTACAATTTAACGCTATCTAAATTTTTAAAAGAAATGTTCACAGCAACTGTAAAACATGATAAACGATAATGTATTGATTTGAGTTTTCTGACTTTTAGATGTACTGCGTATCGATTTGTAAAATGTTGGCGAGATTTGTATATTCGGTTTTGGTACTGGTTCAGACTTGCATGTAACTCTAATCTAATACGTCGGGATGCGGCACCTTGCCAAATTCACATGGCGGTATTAACTTTTGAATATTCACCCATTTATACTCTGTGAATATTATTCGTAGCGCAAAACAAATTTCAAAAATTATATATTTTTCCCCTTTTTAAGTACAAAACACGATTTCCAGAAACTTTTGAGAATGACGTCACAAATGGATTGGGATTATTCATCGGGCTTAGGAACATATAGAATTAGTGTATGTCGTATGAGTGGTTTACTATATCTTTGTTTCGTTAGTGTATTCCGATACAGTAATACAAAACCATTTTTTTTTAAAATCCAACACCTGACTCGTACGTGTACTTTGTTAACCTCTGTTCCTACAAATAATACTGTAATTCAATCACACACATACGTTTGTTGCAACATCGAGCATTTGGTATATATGCGAGTATGAAAACCAAATTTTGAGATACAGTTGAAGCTCATTAGCAAAGGGAAATTCAATTTATAAAAACGAACCCTTATTAGATGAGTTAAGATGGGCATACGTTAGCAGCTACGGAATCACGGCTTTGAACAGTATTGAAAATTCGAAAAAGATTTTTTTACAGAAATTCAGTTAATTTTACTGCTTTGTGCGTTTTTAAAACGTAAAATCGAAACTATTTGTATCATAGAATTTTAAATCGGTGAGGTAGCTGAATAAAAAAAAAACTCTATATATCGGAAATTACGAATTATAAGTTTGTTATGTTACAAATTGTTCTGCTTAGCAGAAATATTGCGCACAAATACAAAAGTAGTTTTATATTAAAGATTCAGAAAACATGTTATCAGTCGACATACCTGATTATTTATGAGTATATGAACTGACGAAAATATGTTTTTGTTGGGTAAGTGAGTCTCATACCACGTTTTAATTAAAGGATTATGCAGTCTGTAGTTCGAACAACAATGCTGATAGTCGAAAAGAATATAATACAACATACAGGAATTTATTAAATTTATTTACTATCACCAAATGCTTGCCAAAATATATTTTTAATCTAGTTTACTTTTTTGTTTTTTCTTTATACTACAGATATATACGGACACCTAAAACGTAGATGTATTTAGTTACAGTATGACTTTATTTGTCACGTTGCTCGTGTCATATGTCAAAGCATTGTAAAAGAAGTTGTCAGGTTTATTGATCGAGCATTTTGTGTCAATTTTGCCGGATACAAGGTGTAGATTTAGCGACAAATAATGGATTTATTCGATGCCAAGTCCTTTTGTTTCATCGTGATGAATTTGATATGTGAGTATTGTTCATTTTTAGCAAATACCGTATATTAAAGGTGTGGATATCACAATATCAATAAATGTTAGTATTTGGTGAATTAAGGGGCAAAATCAATGTTTATATTGTCACATTTTTTCAAAGGTATTGTCAGAATTTTAGCGTTTTAGTCTGACAAAAATAGAGCTCTACATAGCCCTATTAACTGTCATATACGGGTCATATCGCAACATATTAATCTTAATATTATATGGTAGTTTTTTTGCTTCAACTTTTTGGCTAATTTCGGCTTTAATTACTTCAAAAAATAATTTACTAATTCCAGATACTGATTGATGGGTTTCGTTGAACTAATACTTGCCTTGAAACCAATAGTAAGCGTAATAGCTAAATTATATGAAGGTGTAATAAGGTGAAACAAATAACAATATTGCCGCAAAATGTTTGATTTTTGTACTATTTTCGTACTTTTAATAAATGATTAAGAAAAGGGGCATTTGGTTGTTTTTAAAACCGCAAAATCTACAAGCTCAGCCATGCGCATGAGCTAACTCTAGGGCTAAGTAAACTGAGGTTATACGCATATACAATTCCAAGCGATAACAAAATATACTATGGAACTATATTGTAATATATTATACAACCTAATACACCACTCGTACAGTATTCTATATAGAAATTTTGATTATATTGCAATTGACAAGAAAATGCAATTAACGGTAAATGAATCTTTTTTCCCTTAATAGAGTATGATTTGAGAAACACACGGATAAAACCGCAAATTGTGGGTTAGAATGAAATATATATATAACGGTGCACCCAATTTCTGCATCCTATTGAGGCTAAATCCGTATTATTTGTTAATATAGATTCATTATTGAACATGAAATGTGCATATTGATAGTTTTTCTGAATTTGTCAATACTTGAAAATTGAAAAGTCTCTTAGAAAGCTACATACGTTTTCAGATTTTTTTTAGAAAATTCAAAATTTCAGCCTCAAATTTTGTTGTTTAACATTAATTCATGGTAACAATGTTGTGACCTTCGACGTTTGTGCCCATATATTTAAGTATTACTCTCATTACGTCAAGGTATAATTTTGAATAATATAAAATATTGAAAAACACATTTCTCCAATACCACAGACTATGAATTTTTGTTCAAGAAATCTTGTATAAAGAATACCAATTATTTAACATATACTTTATATTAGTGGTTCTCAGCAACACTTATTTGAAATTTTCTGAACGAAAATTCGATGTGACCGTCAGAGTGTTAACTAACTTATTTGATTTCACATACGACTTCGTGACTTTTAGCGAAACTATTGTACTCCTTTTCCAACGTGTAAAGTATTTAGAAGTAATCATTTAAACAATTTAAATGAAAATACGGAGTGACTTCATTTCTGAGGCTAATATATTATTTATGATAAGTCGATAGTATGCAAATGCTTCAATGACAGATATTATTTTCAGGTATCAAAACTTTGACAAATGCGAGTGAAGAATACGTTGATCCTGCCGAAGTAATTCATTAATTATTTGATATATTACTGTACTTCATGTATTTGCGTCTAATTAATCATTGCTGCAATGTTTGTATAAAAAATTAACGTGTCTTTTCGGCATGTACTGTATGTTTTTCAAGAGACATTCTGACATTTAACACTACATTGAAAATCAAGCCCAGCAATTTTGGTGGACGCATTTCAACTGTAAACGTTATCAGCCATCAGGGTGGTTGCTAAAAAAACAGAATTTTACTTACAAAGAATAACCTTTACAGAGTTTTTTAAAGGCATATGTTATATTACGCAGAATATTATAGAATGCAAATGGAATCTAAAAGGTATCAACCTAAAACAACCTAGAACCTAAAATATAAACGTATTGAAAAATAAATTAGTAAGCACGCATTTTATTCGTGATCTCATCTGACCTTTTGATTTTGTGCTTTCCTAGCGACCACCCGTATATTAAAGTTTATAAATATATGACTTAATATGTATATCCATGTGTCGTTAAGGTATAATAAACAATTCTTTCCAAACATTTTCATGTACAAAATGTTTGCTTAGGTCTTTTGAGCGTATCGTAAAATACACTCGGAAATTTAAATTGTTTCGCCATTTTTCAAATATGCCAATGATCAGTAAAACTCTCGCAGACAATATATGTGTTCAGTTCTTTGGAATAATGATTTACTGCCACGTCCAGTGTGTGATAATTCTGAGAGACTTTGACAAACTGATAAAATTTTGCTTTCAAATTCTTGTTACCTCTGGTACATTTTCATGTCACACTGATTTTTCTCGGTCAATTTATATTTTGATGGTAATATTCGAATAAAACAGCAGGAGAGACGAGTTGATTCTCTGTGACTTATTCTTGTCAAATACATCCAAGCACACGCATAAAAACATAGGATAACGGGTAGAACTGATTATTATGCTGGGAGCATACATATAAGTAACATAATTGTTCTTATCAGGTGATTTATGGAGATTTGGTTCAATTTCGTGACGGTCACATTATAATTGCTGTGCTGCTTCCAATTACAACAAGTGATGAAAATGAAAACTGTCGGAATGAATTTCGAAACGAAGGAATACAAATGGTGGAACAAATCAACATGGCCATTGAAAAGGTGGTTTTTAATTTTTAAAGTTTGTCTTATAAGTTAAAAAAACAAAACAGAAATATTTTGTAAAATTTTACGAGAGAAAGATCACATGTATTGATTTTATCTCTTTGAGTTGATGAAAATTTAGACAATAAACTTTCAAATTTTCTACTCTTAACTTAAAATAAAATTTCCCAACTTCAATTAAACACTATCCTGATGTTAAAATGTTTTTTTTATTTTTAAATGGAAAGGAAATTAGAATTTGGGATGAACAAAGAAAAATAAGTATTTTAGACTTGTGAGGATCGTGATTGACACAGAAAAAAAAATATATATTCATAATATGAGAACAGTTTTAATTAAATATTGTTAGCGTTTAGTTTTTATTACTAGTAACCTATATATAATCAAATTCGTCAGGTAATAATTTCCCCTCTGCAGTTTGAATAAAAAGACCAATTAATCACAGAGGTGAATGGTTGGAATTTTCGCTTTCGATTTCCGTGAGTCATATTCACACATTGGTTTGAATTCCAAAAATTTTCTACAAAACCATCAGCTTTTGTCATTTTCTGTCAAATTTGATGACTGGTGTAAAATTTATTTCTACCCAGTATTATAATTTATTTATATCGGACACGGAGTGAACATATAGATCGTTTTGTTATGATGCTGTTGTTGTTATTGTAAGGTTTATTCATTCCTTCTTCTTCTTGGGAAAAAAAAAAACGCTTTTCTCATTAACTATACTGGACCAATCGATTTGAAGTTTTAAGTAATTTGAGCGGGTTGTATGAGATTTGTTTTTGTGTTCGATGACGTCATCAAAATTGCGCTTCTTGTGGGGTTCGCGTTTGACAATATCTGGTGTCAGGTGAAGTCGTGCGGTACCGGTAGTCTGCTGTGACAGATCGCATACCTGTACTACTGGCTTTTGTGTCCATATTATTGGGCATTTCTATCTTGTTTTCAGTTTAAGCTTACAATCATATATAAAAATTGGGTTAGGCAAGAAATTTAGAATTATGAAATTGGAGTCGTAATCCAGTTACTCCCATTTCACATCTAAATTTGTTTATTCAGTTTGGACGGGAATCATGATTGTATTCTACGCTTTGATCTGAAACGTATTGGTCACCAATGATGTTTCAAACCAAACTTTAAAAACTGTTTGAAAGGATCCAGAAACTTTGTTGCAATTCAGGATTTATAATTTTTTTGACTTTTGTAACTCGCCTATTTTCTAATTAAAGGTGAATGCTGATGAAAAATTTTTACCTGGAATTAAAATTGGCACTGTTATTATCAACACGTGTCTTTCTGTACCTAACACATTAACAAAGGTAATAAAAAGATATTGTTATTTCTTTATTAAATATACGCAAAGTTTACTGAAATAGCATTGTAATTCAATTCAATAAGCATAATTTAATTTCCAAACCTAAACATACTATGACTCACGTATTGATGGGGCTTTCTGTTCACTGTTATGCCCAGCTGCTCATGAGTGAACGCATTGAACAATTCTCCCATTTCTAATGCTTTTTATGTTTTAATTTTTTTCAATGCTATTAAACATGGGCTTAATTATTTCGTGTTTGTCGATAGTGTGGTTCGTTGTAGCAATTTGTAAATGTACGCTGTGCATCAGCTGTTTATACTACGGATCATATAGGTTGGAAGAGTAAGTAGTAGGAATTGACAAAAAGTGTATCAAAGACAAGTCAATACACCATGAAATGCATAATCGTAAATACTTCAGAAAATTGGATTGATGAGCGATGTCTGAGAGCAATCATTGTTATTGAACCTGTTCCAGACATTTGGGCGTGATTTTTACTCACTTCAAAACTATCATCTAAGTAAAAAGCGAATAATTCTGCTTTATATTACAATTTTTTTTTACTTACATCCCAATTGCAACATATTGAAATAAATTTCCAAATCCTCCCCCAAAAATTATTGTTTATTTAATAATTTGTATAAATTTACAGGTAATATTTGATGTTTTACGAAAATACATATTAGACAATCAATGTCATAACAGCTGCCTGAATCCTGACGAACCGAGAATTCTAGCAGGTAATCTCATCACTTTGAATAAGTTGAAATAAGATAACAAACATCTAGACATCACGCCTGTAAATTACACTCTCTATTTCGTATTAATAAGGAATAATAATTTGAAGAAAGAAGAAATGTTTTAATTAAGCAACAAAGCAAGAATAATTAAATTACAGTTAGCAAGCAATTTATTTACATCGCGCAATTCATTAGGCCGAAAACAAATAACTGGTTAACTAACCCCGCACTCTATATCAGGCCTGGGCAAGTTGCGGCCCGAACGGTCGCATCCCGCCCGCAAGCAGATTTTTAGATTCACACTCTTTTTTCTTTACATATAAAATAAACTTCAACTGTAAAATTTATTATTGTAATAATAACACTTTGTAACACACATTTTGTTCCCGTGGCTTCTAATTATCATTTTCGGTTCTCGTACATTTGAACCCACGACAATTGCACCTGCATACTATTGCACCTATGGAATTATTTTCGTTTTGCGGATATTTGAACCCGTACTATCCCTAACTCATGGGTTATTGGTTACTCCCCTAAACTGAAGAAAAATGGCTTTAAATATGTAATATTTTGGATATGTTATAACATTTAACGTTTGTCGTGTGGTTCACATCAATTTGCGGGTGAAGTAATAAGTCGCGAAATTGTAAAATGAAGCATGGTAAGTGTGTTAAAAATTAAAACCTATCACAATCAAATTACGGGGAATAGCAATAAACCGGCACCAATGATTTTTATTTGATATTAGGGATACACAGCAGCGTAAAACTTTCATAAAACTTAATTTGGTGCTATTTGTTTTTGCTATTTCAGAGATAAGTTACTTGCATTCTTTGAGAAAAATCTTGAAGAAATTATTACAAACCCATTTTAAATACCGCTTTGGCGACTAAAATGACTCAAAATTGAACAAAAAACAGGTTTTTTACTAAATTTCGATCTATTGTTTAAGTCGATTCCACGAATCAGGCTCCCACATGCAGTCGTCATTGCTGTACTGTCATTGGTAACGGGTAGGGATGGGACGAGTTCATTACAGAGATTCGACGAATCCGAGTAGTAGGTCAAGGACTGAATCGAATTTGCCGAGTCCGTGATGTCATAATGGAAAAGCAGAAAAACGTGTTTTTGACCATGCTACAGCATCGTGCGCTCACAAACATACGTCGTAGCTCATATTTTTTGCCTAATGGTTCCGCAGATAGCTGTTGAATCATTTTAAATATATATTTTTTCTTTTTTTTTGGCGGCCATAATACAAACGTAAATGTGGGTCAATGTGCGCCTTGGCTGTGAATTAGATTTTCAGCCACCTTGCGTCAATTCTGAGCGGTTATTCAAAAATTCTTACATGTCAATATGAAAAATAAAAAGCTTTCGACTACAATGCTTTCCCATAATTCCAGATATTTCTAGCCGTAAATTTACTATGTCATGTGCGCATATGGTAGAGAAATGCCACTCGTCGTCAATACAATGTGGTACATCTGCTTGCAATTTAGTAGTTCATGTAAACGTTCTAAAACTCTCCACGCTTTCAGCGAAATGATTGCACGCAATAAACTCGATTTAAAAGAGGTATCGATGAGATTCCACATTGGGTTGATCCAGAGCATGTTTTATTTTACGCGAATCAAAAACTCAAAAATATTGCAATAACACATATTTTATTGTGTACCACATGTATATATACCAAAAGCGATAGATAGTTTGAAGGCGACTGGCGTATCATTGTTAAAAGCTTCAATAGTTTTTAACTTGCGTTATATTATCTGGATATCTGTCATCGTTTTATTAGGAGTGTTTATACTGCACACGAGGGATATTGTTACAGATCCAACCTTGAATTTTAACTAGTTAAAGTATGTAGTGGGATTTATAGAGGCAAAAGTACAAACATAGACGTAAATTAGTAAAAACAGATTTGATTATGGACTCGGTAAAAATGACGTGGACTAGAAATCGAATCCGAGTCCAAAAAATGCCTGGATTCGACTTAAATCCGAGTCCGAATCCGAATCCTGGTCCATCCCTAGTAACGGGTGTTTACGATCCAATTATGAGGCGATAGTGTCTACAAAAGGCAAATTGCAGATGTAACATTGACATCAATATTTAGCTAGGACAATTGTAGGGTCTCATTCGATGTCGCCTTTTCCGCCACAAAATTCAGTTCTTTTCAGTCATTTGAGACTGTTTTAGGTGAAACTGTGTTAGAATGGGTTCAAATATCTATAAAGAAAATTCTATAGGTGCAATAGTATGCAGGTGCAATTGTCGTGGGTTCAAATTACGGGTTTATATGTACGTGGGTTCAAATGTACTGGAACCGAGCAAAGTCTTTGTTGCGCTTCAACAAGTCCTCGATTGTTAGGTTTGATGGCAGACTAAGTAGCGCAGCGCTGACTATAGCCTGCGATATCCTGCTGTGTTAGCACGCGACTCAATAAGCGACTTGTTAACATTATACGAGTTGCAGAGTGTTCTCGTTTTGACTTAATTATGGATACATCTCAAGTTAGCAAAAGAATACTTGAAAAAACACTTCAGTGATTAAGAAGAAACGCAACGTACATGAAGAAGGTCGCATTTTAAAAAAAAAATTGGAGTTGCAATATTTCTGCAATTCTCAAAATTCTAAAGCACATTGTTTAATTTGTCACATTTCCATCAGTACAATGAAAAAATACAATAAAAGTAGACATTATGAAAATAGGCACAGCAGACAATAAGACAAATTTGAAGATCAAATTCGGAAAGAAAATTGTCATGTATTTGTATAACATTATAATCAAACTACTACCTAGTTCCTAAAAATCAATATCAATCACAATTTAAGCGGTCATATGCCACGTAATGGTAGGGAATGTCGCGAAACGTGGCGGGAAATGTCTAGTTCAAAAAGTCAGACAGTTTTTTTCTTTACTGACCTATACATGAAATGGTGAACGTAATATTTTTGCATTACTGAAATTAATCAAACATTCACAACGAACCGAATTAATGATCATGTGACCTCGGTAATTAGAGGTGGTACTGTAAAACCATTTCAGCATGATATTAGTAAGCTGGTAGCCCAAAAGAGATGCCAAACGCTAGGACAAATGTACTAAAAACATTAGGTTTATTCTGTATTTTTGTAAATTTTAGTTCTCTATATTAAGATTGAGCCATTTTTATTGTATGTATTATTTATTTTTTATCAAAAGTTTGTTCAAAAATGTTTTAGATAGTTGTGTGTGAAAATTTATGTTTTATTGTAATACATACAGTAAATTGCGCAGTGCATGGGAATGCAAGAAATTAATATGGAAACGGCATTTAAAATTTAGGAAAATAACAAAACTTTATTCGGCTATTTAATTACAACACAATATATGTAACAAACTATACTTATCTAAAAATATGCTTCAAGTAAACATTACTGAAATAGATCAAAAACTGTTTGCGGTCCTTGGCACAATTCCGAAAATGCATTGTGGCCCTGGAAACCCTGGCCCTGTTATAGAGTATAGAGCATAGCACAAGCTGCTATGTGCATCCAACTCTGTGACTCTGCAACTAGTATAATTTTGACAAGTCACTCATTGAGTCGCGTGCTAACACAACGGGATATCAACCTTTTTCGACCCAAGGGACACTTTTTTCATTGAGAAAATCCCGCGGCACAACTCCAGCTGAAAATGTGGGGGAAGACCTAATATTCACAATATAAAAGTTATATATTGTTAATATGAGTTTTTTTAACATTGAAGAAAGATGTTGAATTGAACATCTTGAATAGTAATGATATAAAAACAAAGACAAAAAGACAAATCACCATCTCAAAATTTCATTTTAATATCAATTCATTGCACCGTTGTTTATGAAATCTACCATGACTCGGATTTGACTTATGACTCGAATAGCAGAGACTCGACTTGACTCTGACTTGAACTTTGATTTGAACCGAGACTAGTATAACCAGCGACTCTACTTGACCCACGACTAGGGATTTAGATATCCCTACCAAAAGATAAAGATGTAAACATTATTTCAACGTAATATTTGCAGGAGTACTTGGTGCTATGAAAAGCTCGGTATCCATGCAGATTGCTAGATTACTTCAGGTTTTTTATATTCCACAGGTGAGTGTATTAATCACTGAATAATAATAAATCCAGAATCAAAAATAATAGCAAAACCATTGCTAACCCATTTGTGAACAATTTTGTACTTAGAAATGTACACGTACAAAATGTTTACATTGTTTTGCATTCTCAATCCATAAATATTTCAACTCTGCAACATTCAGAGAAAAAAGAAATTTACACATAGCGTTGAATGAATATGAATTTAATATCTTTGCAAAATGTCAATAAATACCTAATTACTAATAATTTTTGAGTACATAACAGGATTTCAGAAAATAAATTATATATATATATATATATACTGGTTAGTTATATAGTTGTATACTAAATATTACTGATACACTCAGATACACTCGTTTAGAAAATGTTTTGTTGTAAAAATGCGCTCCCTAGTCCCTTTAGATATCAGTATTTAAATATGCAGAAAGTAGCTAAAAGTTCATTATTAATATTTTATTTAATTTTGAAGCCCGATATTTAAATCAAATTTTTCCCTTTTTTCTATTATTCCATTGTACACATTCATATGGCATTCATTACCATTTTTTTCAATATTTTACCACAATTTTGCTCACTTTTAGGTGTCTGTTATTAGGTGTCATATGACCCGTTTTACTATTTATTTCACCATTAATCCTTTTGTATAAAAATAGTTCCTTTATTGAAATTTTCTACATCGTATTTAAACTAGATCAGCTACTTTTCAACAAATCCAGAATTGAGTGACAAGAATAGATTTCAATATTTTTTCAGAACTGTTCCATCTGACACTAAACAGGTACAAATCTATCAATTCCAATTAGTGTACAATTAGTGTGTGTACAATTTGCAATTCAAATATTTTCGATAAATCGTACAACTAATAAACAATATAATTTTAACATGATTCTCACTTAATTTGTCACTAATAAATACGTTTCGTTGTAAACCATGAAGCTTGCTTCTCTTTTAAAATATCTTTCGAAGTTTTATCGTTCAAATACCTATTTAGTATTTCTTTGCTTAACTATTTATATTCAGCTATAAATGAAAAATAGGCAATCAGTTTGGAGTCGCAGTCAGGTTTAAATTTTCCCTCTCCTCTATAAGCAATTTTTTTTTTTTACAATTTCCAAAGTCACCAGAAATCTGTAATGGGCATCTTTGATTGTAAATCTTTATTATTTAACTCAATACTTATGTTCCAGACTCTGGCTATGACGCACTTTATCGAGCAAATGGGATGGAATTACGTGTCAGTACTTTATGAAAATGATCCTTATGGAATAAACGGAAACGCTGGTTTGTGAATATTATAATAATTGAGCTGCTATTATTTATATGGCAATATGAGAAGAATTCCCATATTTTTAAAATTGAAGGTTGTCACTTTGTCAGGGAAATTTTGTCACACAAACAGTTTCGCCTTGGTGTGTATTCTAAGGTATATTCCGAATAATTGAACAAAGCAGTGTAATCACGTATAGTTCAAATACAAAATATCTGACAGGTAATTCTTTACTAACAGGTTAAAACGAGAGTTAATTGGAATAATCATGCGAATAGACAGTAATGTATTCTTATTGAAATTCTATACCAAAATAAAGCTATGATATAATTATAACCATTGCATCAATTTTTTGTATTTTTAGAGATTGTTCATCACTTCAAAGACAATAATATATGTTTTGCTGAAACAATATTGGTCGAAGTTAAATCTAACATGGATTACTATATCGGTATCGTAGACGATCTGATGAAAAAATCTACCGCTAACGGTTGGTAATCTGTGTTGACATTGTAGGATATCACCGTACTATGGGTCAATTTGGTACCATAAAATATTGCACAAAGTTTTGTATTTATTGTTCCATTAATTGTTCATCTTTAAAACCTGCTCATTCAAATTATATCTGTAGAATATAAAATAAGTGGTGCAAATGTAGGTAAGCACGTTTCAATCGAATGTGCTTGAAATACGGCACAAATTTTGAAAACATACTAAACATTGAATATAAACAAAAGTTTAATGTCCTATGTAACGAGACGATTATACTTTAACTCTATGACTGAGCACTTAGTTTAACGAAAAGATCAACAAGTAAGCATGACAAAGGTATAGCAATCGTGAAGGCCTTAAGAGTTTTCATATGAAGTGTTTAAAATGAAACAAAATAATCAAAATTTTGAATCCTGGAAGACTGAGTTGAAATTTGAAAAACTAAAAGTATTAGTCTTCTAGAGACTTCAGCCATCTTTAGGTAATGAAATTCTGAAATTAATTGCCGAGAGAAAAATTATTTCTTCAGTAACAACACCAATTTAAAAAACAATCCATAAATACACATTATGTCCGATAAATAAGGACAAAAAGCAAATAGAATTTCTTTACATAACTTGACGTTTAATTCCATTGTACGATTTAGTTTTATTCCCTCAGTTATCAAATTATTCCTCATTTACTATTTATGAGTTGACATAAATATCCAGCCTGTTTTATTTATTTCTGATGTGCCATTTTTGTAGGATCGTTACGTTTTTGATAATATGCATTTTATGGTTTCGCTATAGATAAGCAATATTATGTATAGTTCAGCCTTGATTTGACCCAATTTATCCCTATATTTAGTAAGGTATTGCCGCAAAAAAGCAATAAGAGTCAAGAAACTTATGGATTTAGCATGTTTTAAAATTATTGTTCTAATGCTAGACAAATGTGTTTGCTCGTACGTACTGGCTATCATTTTTCTAAAACAAAATAAACCAAACATTTTCAATTTTTTCAAAAGCTGGAATGGAATTTAAAATCAATATTTATTTAATATTGCAGCCGTCATATTATTTATGGGGGCATGGTTGGCTGAAAAAATAATAACTGCAACAAAATACGTCGAAGGAGCGGAGAATAAATTTACGTGGATGGCCTCGGATGCATGGATAGAATATTTGCCATATTCCAATGCAGATGAAGCATTCATCCAAAGTATCGACGGTGAATGAAATATGATAATTGCTAATAAACGTTAATTTACCTTAACAATTTTTTCCCATCACCAAAAAGCAGGGCAGTTCTTTATTGCGCCAATATGCTGACTTATTCATTAATTTATTCGCCGTTTGATAATTTATTGCTATTATTTGTGATTATATTTTTTTAATTTTTTTTTCAAATTTAATTACAGTTTGTTCAGTAACTAACATGGACTGAAGCCAATGACAAAAAATTGTTACTCGTGTCTCATTCGATGTTTGTCTACTTCATGCAAACCCATTTGTCTAAAAATAGACTAATTGTTATATTAATGATATAATAATAAAATTAATAATTATAGTAATAACATTGCTCATTTTCATTGCTCATTTTTGCAGGTTCTATAGGTTTCAGACCAAATTTTGTTCATAATACAAACCTCAGTGCCATGATCGAAAATATAACGTTAGATAGATATCAAGGCCTAAACAAAACTCTGAATCCCTGGTGGGAACATTATATCAGTAACACCAACAACTGTTCATTACAAAAAGGTATATCAGATTTATTCATTTTTTTTCTGTCTATGTTAATAAGAAGAAAGAAAATGTAAATTATACTATCGCGTATTATGTATTTAGGGGGATCTACAAATTTAGTATACAAATGTGTACTATATTTACAGCAATTTTTCAATGATTTATTTCAAGAACCATTTTCTTGGATCTTTAAACATTGATTAGTCCGTTTATTACTTTATTTTAGTCATTTATCTACACATTGTCACGCTAACAACCGAATTGCGTAAGTCATTTTTAGCAGTTTTGGGAAAAACGTAAAAAACTTCCTAATGATATTGTTATGCCATTGGGAGTCAATAATTTGCCATGGTTCAATTTTTTGATCGTAGCCGGATTTAACTTAATTTGTATGACGCAGGTAAGTGACGTCATAATGGCGCACTGTGACTTAGGCAGAAATGTGTCTATGACTTGGGGACATACGCAATTTTGCAACTTTACTATATGCACCAGTCCTGAACACTAAACATTCCAAAAACGAATGTAATTCTCAGTATCAATATAAAAGCCAACCAAGATGAATTGGACTCGGACAGTGAATATCACGAGTGCACGTCTTCCTATACTGTTGTATAAATTCAAATTAATACGCGCTAAGCTAGATTCCGAGATGCAAAAACTCGAAAATACTTCGCGAGGTTATTTTGCCTTTGTGACGTCACAATATTCATGTGGTAACAATGATAATTCATTATGACGAAACAATTGCACAAATGTGCATGTCATACTAAATCTTCATTTTTATGGGTTTCGGAATTCTTAAAATAAAATCTGAGTTAACAGACAGGTGCGCAGCATTACTAAATACCTATTTTATAAAAAAAAAACTCAAAACCGCCAAAAACGACTTACGCAATTCGGTTATTAGCGTGACGATATTCTACTTATTTTCATTCACATACGATATATATCCAACAGTAATCTTCCATCGGCCCAACGATCACAATAGATTTTTTTTAATAAATGAATTATTGCATATTTCAGGTAATATGACACATGGGAAGCGAATTTGTTCTCCCAACGAAACAATAAGTGGATTCACTCATTTGGATAATGTAAATATTGTTTTGTTTTTACCATACCGAGTTGTGAAAAAGTTGCAAGTCTACAATTCAACAAATGTTGGCATTGTACCTACTCAAATCTATTACCCATATTCGACATGAATGCTAAATTTAATTATTTAGGTTTTAGATTTATATTGTTAACAAGAGAACAATGCACACATAGGTGTGCACGAAGTAACGGGTTTGTTGAGTAATAGGCTTGCCAAAATCGGTCAGCAAAATATCCGCTTGGTGACCCATGTTTCCAGTCGGTCCTGAAATAAATTGTAAAACAAATAATTCTGCGAAAGACAATGTGGTTTTTAACTGACGAAAGTTTGAAAGAGATTGGTTAAGTAGTTAAACGATGCTATTAGTTTATTGTAATAATTGTGTGTTCAAAATAATATATAGCAATATATGATTTTCAGTCCATTGAAGAATCGGTGATGGTTTTTGTGCATGCACTAAATTCATCCCATCAGGATATTTGCACCAACATAACAAAGGAGAATGGATTATGCGGGGAATTAAGAAATATGTCTGGAACAAACATATTAGCAAAAGAGTTATATCACTATATAAAGAATGTTTCTTTCTATAGTTAGTTGGTCATTTATTAATTTTTTATGTTTACTAACTTCGCAATTTTTCTAATTAGAAGTAGGGTGATATTGAAATATAAGTTGATAATAATTTAATGGGCATAGTCGGCGCACTAAAGTGCCGCTAAACCCGATGGATCCTAAAACATTTTGCAAAATTGATGCATTTTTCGACAGATGATGTAGAAAAGTGGATGATTCTAACTTTTTATGCGTTTTTGCATCTCTATTTAAATAAAATAATAAAATAATTTACAAATTTGGATGTTGTTTATGACCTATCTAGAACAAATTTGTAGGGTGCCCGACAAATTTTTTATTTATTACTAATTAGATAATGACTTTTTTGAAACTATCATTCCCGTAATTAATACCAAGTTTTCTACAAAGGGAATATGTTATCACTGTGATATATCTTTTGAACATTTGTGGTATTTTCTGTATTTTTTTTCGAGGTTCGAACATAACAGTCTTTGAAATTGGAATTTGCAAGAAATACTGGTGCCACTTTGGTATGCGATCTCACTTGCTCAACGTGATCCCAATCGCATGAGGACATTTTTTTTATAGAATCCAGTACCTAACCCTCTGAGATCGCATACCAAAGTAGCACCGAAACACCTTTACTTAGCAATGTCGAATATTTTTATAGTTTTATCTTTCAAATGACTATTTGGTACTTCTCCATTTTCCGCTGGAAATGAAAACATGGGCAAAATAAGCAGCAAATCAGCAAAAATACGATAAGAATCAAAGTCCATGCCAAACATGCGCGTCGTTCTTCAATATTGAAGTTGCGTGTGTCACTGTATGCTGCCTTTTAGTGTAGTTTGGGTTAGTTGAAGTATGTAACTTTTAACAAGAATAATTTCAATAGAACAATGCAAAATTTTGGGCAGCACTGTATTTTGTTATGTTTGACTAATAAATTATTCAAGTTGTTTATTTTAAAATTTTTGAGTAATAGAAAAACTACTTCTTATTGGAATATGTTCGTTGGATAAATTCAAATGGGAAAAAAACTATTTTATGCCTTCAATTAAGCTTTTTTGCAAATAGATTGCAAGCAAAATGTAGCTAGTCTTCAAATTTAATTTTCTCAAATCAATACATGTCGAGTATGCATCACGAAATAACCCCTGCGCTAACTAAAAATCAGTAAGTATTTTGACAAGTAATTACTTCAAAGCTGACAATGTATTATTTTCGAAGACATTTATTTTTTAGATTTTAGAAATTCAACAAAAAAGAAGAATGTATGACTAATGATATTAAATATATTACCTAAATATTTTAAATACTTTAATTACATGAGCAATGTAAATTTTGTGAGACGAACTAAAAGTATAATGATAAAAACGGTGGAAATTTATTAACTTACAAAACTCTTGATTCGGTAATGTATTCTTAATTTTAGCTGACGACGGAAGACTATTCGAGTTTGATGAAAATCAGGACGCACCAAGTGTTTATAGAATATCAATTTACAACAGGAACATGTCAAGCGATTACAAAAATACAAACGGCTGGACACCGATTAAGACCTATGATGATAAAGGTAACCAATAACAAATGGCAAATAGATAGGCCTCGATTTTTATTTTTGAACTTGATTTGGAATTTTAGTATTTGATTGGTTCTAACCGATGGTACACATTGTTTAAAATGAAGGGTTTTAATTGAAAAAAAAAAAAAAAAAAACTATTTGATTGCCGTTTATACTACCAGTATACTTCATCAAAATTTATTGTTAATGCCTAGGAAGAGATTGTACTTTATCTCATAAATTATTAGTGTTATTAGTAATCTTAGATTGCTAACATATCCGGGCAGGTCCTAGGCAATAAAACTTTTTCTGGAGTTTTATTGATAATCGGATGGAATATTTATTTTATTATTTGTATTTTTCTAGGGTTTCATAATTACAATGTCGACTGGAGACAAGGTGAGGTTTCTTCTGTATGCAGTCAACCATGTATGCAAGGACAAGCTAAGAAAACAGCTGAGCAGGTATCGGGTAACATGGAATAACCTAAAAAGCGAGCTGTTTAAAAATTTATAAAGTTTTATCATGGTATCAATCAGAAGTGTTGTTATCTTGTACTTATCAGAAACTGGCATGCTTCTGTATATTTATTCAGTTTGTGATTTAAATTATAATATTTCTGACTATTTTTATAGCCGGTCATGTTTAATTTTCAATTCTTGTTTATGTATCACAGTTATGCTGTTGGTTTTGTCAAAATTGCACTGAACGACAATTTGTTTCTAATGGAACTGAATGTGTCGACTGCTCAGAAGACATGATGCCAAATGCTGAACAGGATCAATGTGTTCTAATACCAATTCAGTGAGTGTGGAATTCTGTTGATCATTTTAATCATTGCTGTTGATTTAGGGTTTTGAATTTAAATCCGGAGGATCTCAACGTGGACGAGACCTGTGGGACAATTATGTGCGAGGGGATTGCTGAACTCCTCGCCTCCGTAGGGTAGTTTACGTAGCAGCTGCTCGGTTACGGCCTTCTCCACAATCAATTTCATGCATCTGAAACAAATAACTGGATAACTAATTCCATACCCGACATGGACTGGTAACCTGACGAGAGGCCGTGGTTTGTCATATTAGTAAGCCGTCTTATCGACTTTCCTCTCACGCGGGATAAATATGCAAATCCTATCCTCAATATACATCAACGTATCTTTCACTTGCATTCTGCTCTTATGAGATGGATTACACTAATTTGAAAATTTATTATTTTAGAAAACTGGAGTATGATTCTGGTTACACAATCGGATGTTTGGTCGTGGGGGTGTTTGGATTACTTTGCACTTCATTTGTTACTGCGATTTATATCAAATTTAGGCACACTGCAATAGTACGAGCTTCGGGAATGGTAAGTGATATTTCCAACATTTTATTTTGCTAAATATTTTTGTATGTTTAAATAATCATAAATTGTGATTTGAGTTGTCAGCTATTTTTATTTACCATCAAAAATTATCATTAATAAAAAACACTTGTTTTTTATTTGTGTCACTTCATATATTGAAAAATATTTTTTTTTACGTCATGCTAAATAGATTGTGAACAAAAGCAGCGTGGTTTAAAATCAAATTATTTCTAAGAAATACTAATCAATACGTCTCAAGTTTGCATTTACACAGCCAAAATCCAGATCTGTTTGGTGAGTTGGCAGAAAATTTTGACAAGCAATCATTTCCGTTTAGGACTGACAATGTATCAGTTTCCAAGTCATTCTATTCAAATTTTAGATTTAAAAAATTTACCCCCGTTAGTAAAACGAAATGATTATATTCGGTTTTTCCTTTTAAATATTTCAAATTTAGCAAACTGGTTGTCATTGATTGTATAACGTACAATAGAACGTAACATTGTAATACTTTCTGTGTATACCAATGACCAATTACATTTGCTAGTTTATAATTTTATACATTGAAAATATACTTTTGGTTTGGATACAGTCGTGTGAGAAAAAATGTAAAATCACAACTAGTTTTAATAAATATCAACAAAAATAAAAAAAAACATATTTGCAGGAACTGTGCTTCTTTGTGTTGTTTGGGATATTTTTCACATTGACGAATTGCTTTGTTATCACTGCTCCACCGACTATTTTCTCCTGTGCTCTGTCGAGGGTCATACTAGCCATTGGGCCTGCCTGTATGTATTCTGGTCTACTGGTAAAAACGATTCGAGTGGTTTTTATATTTCACTCAAAACGAATCATGTCCACGAGGGTGAGTTTCTATAGAGGTTTGATTTCATTACATTTATTTTGACTATATACTTCAGCAACATGGTCACCTATGCCAGAAGTTCTTTATCATGACTCATGAGGAATTTTCCACTTGTCACATTTTTCACTAGTCTGATACTTTCTCTTTTATACGATTATCAACATTTGTTTTATTTTACTCCAGACGAAAGCCTATCTTGAACCGGTGCCGATATTATTCATCACGCTCTTGGTTGTTGTAGTTCAAATTGTGATTCTCATACCATGGCTCGTGATAAATAACCCAAAGGTTACTGTTAAATACTATGAAAATGAAGCATTTTTAACATGTGAACATATTATAAATGAAGAAATATTTGTTGGAATTGCCTACCCGTTTGTAATTATAATTATTTGTACAATTCTTGCTACAATAAACAGAAATGCACCGACTGGATTTCGGGAAACATTATTCATAGGTAAGACTTTGTCATCACAATATTGTTCTTTGGTTCCAATGTGTAGTTTCTTTGTCAAAATATATATATCAATTGAGAACTTTTTATTCCTAGGTTTTGCAATGTATACAACGTGCGTAACGTGGATTGCATTTCTTCCTTTATTTTTTACTCACTCAGCAGAAATATTTAAACAGGTTAGGTGAATTGTGCTATTAATATTTAGCCTATTTTACTGATATTTTTGTTAATGTATATGGCAGCGGTTCCCAAAAAGTGCGCCACGGCGATTTGCTAAGTTGCCCCGCACGAACAAAAATGTTTGGGAACCGTTGGTATGAAGTAGAAACAAATCTTATACATTGTATATAGCCGGATTGATGGCAAAGATTCATTAGATTGCATAGCTAGTTCTTTATATCACTAATTTGCAAGTTCATTGTAATCTAATTCTGAACTACCAAGTATAAAATGATCTAATGACTTACATGTTTGAATGCTTTGTTTATCGCATGTTTGAAGAGAATTTATCCATGGATGTTTCCTTTTTTATAGAAATCCAGCCATTCTCCTACCGAAAATATATTTTCCCAATCTAAGTAATTTTCTTTTTTTTCGTTTTTATTAGGTACTCCTGAAGTATGCGCACCAAGATATCGCAAAAACTGAACCCTAACCTGATACACAACCTGAGTTCAGGTTGTGCGCCATCTTGGTGCGCATATTTCAGGAGGTCCTTTTATTATAGATAATTCTAAGCTTATTTGCATTATTTTCCCCAGTTGACAACAATTTCAGTTGCACTGAGTGTTAGTGCAATTACTGTTCTGTTTTGCTTATTTGTTCCTCGGTGTTACACAATGGTATTTTATCCTGAATTCAATACGTCTGAATCGGTCATGGGACATACAGGGTAAGTATACATAAATTCTAGAAAATACTATTTTATTCCATTGATCTTGAAAATTGACTAAATTGTGCTGGTTGGAAAATTATTCGTTGCCGCTGTCAGCAATAAAAAATCCACAATCTGATTTTAATTATGGTTTAATAACAGTATGAAAAAATTTAGGAGATTTAGTATTGCAGAGAATTCAAATATTTTATGTTTAAATTATCACCGGTGTTACATCCTCGTTCAACATGTTGTGTGATGTCAATCTATTCGATTTATACCAATAATATGTTATGATATAATTTTAGTTTATGATATTTATGATACAAGAGATAAAGGCATGTTACCAGTAAGGTCCATACTAGCCTATTGCTCGGCTATGATAAATATATCCTCAGCAATTTCAAATTGGTATTTAGGCATTTGTATATAAACTGATGACCAAATTGTTTCCTCTATTCTACACTATATAATATCCCACATATCTAATATATCATTTTAGATCATTTACTGGGACAAAACCGCCACGACCAAAAGCAAAAACTGTTGATGGAGTGGAAAATAACGCATATTCAATGAGTCCTACTGCCGACGTTAAACCTAGATCGACGTAATTTTGTGGAAAAAATAAATAAAATGTGCAATGGAACCGTCAACTCATTAAATAATTTCACCTTACAACAAAGTCAATAATATTTAATTTTCTTGTGACTTTTGTCAGAACACAATCCGACCCAAAAAATGAAACCAATACATTTCTTAAATACTTCTACGAAAATAAAGTGAAAATTATTTGATTTAGTTTGGGCCTCCTGGACCACTGCCTATGTATGATTATATCCAAAGTTTCATAAATCTAGGACGCTTCGTACAAAAGGTTCTCTCTGGCATTTGTTCAAAATGACATCCTTGGCCTCTGAGACAGACTTGCATCCTTTGCGCAAAATTGTCACTCACTTACTTGGCTTTCCGCTGAAGCGCACTTTCTACTGTCAGGACATGTCAATAGCAACAATAATGTTTACTGAGACATATCACTCCCGAAGAAAGTCTTACGGCGAGAGGGGTCTGCAACCTGCGGGCCAAATGACGCCCACAAGGTACAATTGTGCGGCCTGCCGAAAAGTGCCAATTTTGAATGGTGTGCGGCCAGTGGTGGGGTTAAATTTTCGATCAGCCGGTGCCTTCACAAAAGTCATATTTTTCAGCCGGTTCTTGTTACAAAAAGTCATATTTATTTTAGCAAATAAACCAGTAATGCTAACCGTTTCGCTGATCTCATAAAATTCCGTGAGACGATTCTATAGAACCGGTGCGAACCGGATGAATCCCACCACTGTGTGAGGCCCGCGAAGCGAGTTTTGGAATTAGTTTAATCTGGCACGTGCGAGTAATACCAAACCCTTTGCGCCTAAATCAAAGACTCTAAAAATGCAATAACAACATACTTACTTTTTTATTCATTTCTACAAAGTCTTCTTGACATATTGTTTTCTAATAAAATGTTTACATACAGAAAGTTTTTTTTTATATTGCGAAGGATCTGATAGGAAAGTGTAAACTCGTAAAGAGTTTTGAGAAAATGTAACCGCAATGTTAAAGATATAAGTTAATTTTATTTATTATCCCTTTTTTTGTCATAGTACTTTTGAAATGAAAACACTATGTTTCAGGTGAATTAATAAATTCAAATGTACTATTAACTATTACTATTGCTCTGAAATAATCTTTAGGGGGAATTGGAATGGTATGTTCGACTGAGGTATCCTAAATGTTTCAATGTGGACCCTGGGAAGGGTTTAATTTCAGCTTAATTTTGTTGTGTTTTTGTTATCATTCCTATTATGACAGTATGCTTTTAAATGCGTGTTATAGCGTTCAGTGCCCTTGCAATCGTTTAAGTTCACCTAAATAAATATATGCCTAACGATAACTGAACGGTGACTTATCCTGCTGCCATGTATATGGGATGATCAAATTTCCACTATTCATTACTGTAAAATCTGTTGAGTAAAATTAATTTTATCTGATTTCTTCTACTTGATTTACATGTCTCGTATTCTCCATCGGTGCAGATCATCCAACACTTCATCATTGTAATCACGTATGAAATCAGGTCACCTTCGAAAGTCATCAGCCTATTTTCTACGGCAAAAGCGTTGCTTTTGCTTGAAGTAATTTAGTTGATGTGAGGAATACCTAAAATCCCTCTTTTTTTATTAATTTTTAAATATATGACATAACCTTTGTCTCGCGGTTGATCTATACTTCAGAATTCCTCTAAGTTTTTTCCGTGATTATAGTTGATATCATTGCTCTGGAATTGCAAGAATATTCACCAATTGGTAATTAATTAGAGAGAGGAATTGTTGAACCCCCTGCTGTCGCATATTGACTCGCGTAAATGCATGTCGGTTATCATTTCTTCTGTTGTTTACGTATAACGTCCGTACCTGGTTTAATCAAACAATGGGTTAATCAAACTCGCATAAGGCCTGATTACATGTCCATCAAAACCAGCCCAGCGAACCAGTTCGATTCAGAAACTTGCGCCCTTGATTACATGTCCAAACCAACGAAATGAGAACAGTTTTTGAGCTGCCGGACTAAAGCAAATAAGTCATGATTTGCAAACATTGCATATATATATTTTATTCTCAATAAATTCAGAAATTTAATACAAATGTTAATTAAAGTATCAAAATTGAATGCACGTTCTTGATTGAACTTCTGTGAAGTTGTTTGCAGGATATGACGGGTTGCTTTCTCGTTGAAATTTGCCAATAATCTAAGAAAAAAATGACAAATTACTTGAGGGCATAAAGGTAGATGAGTTAGATCATTCAGCGTTCAACGTTGCAGAGTACTGGCACCTTATGCCACACGATCCATTCAAAAAATTACGGTTGGGCTACAGATATCAGCTGGCTACTGTCAGGCCTAATAGCATAAAAAAAGTCGAAAAATTAGCAAAAGCAATTACAGTCGAGACGACCTGAATTTCCAGGAAACGCCCGATACACGAAAAAAACGACTCCTAGCACCGGTGTTCAAGTTACCATGGATACAGCAGCGAGAGTGCAAAGCGGCGACGGAATATTACCGTTACAGCATTACAATCAATCGGCTATATTAGCAATATTTTAATCTTACTCAGGCACATTCGATACCGTTGCTCTGTCATATTCCTTGGGAACACAAAACACTCATCTTAAATTGCACAGCATTCGAAAAAAAATTTAAGTAATGGTTTCTGGGAAATAAGATGTTAAAGACCATTACTTAAATCACTGAATATACTTAACGTTGAAAATATAATGAAGTTTGTAGTATTATCATTAACTTATGACCTTCATAATAATGCGTTACCAAACTGCTTTGACGACATACGTTCAACCAAATAAGTAATTCTGATTTGTTCCTACCCTTTAATTAAGAGTAAATCTGTGAGCCAGCCTTTCTTGTGTTTTACCGGACTAAAACTTTTGAATTTCCTTTCCTTGAATTTGACGACGTTGAAGTTTAAAGAATCTTTTTAGGAACAAGTCAAGTCGCATTTAGTTTGCAACTATTGAAAATTAATTTTTCAAAGCCGCGTTGATATATATCATTTTTATATGAAATTAGCTGTGTCGCAAACGTGTTGATAGTTCGGAAGTAATTAATTATCAAACCTCAAGGCAAATAAATTTCTTGTTGACACTTCATGACAAAAACACTTCGCACTTGCATATTGGTATTTTTGGGGGGTAACCTATGTTGGACATCTATATTAATATAGTTATTGTTCCTGCAACTACTAATCACTGTGGTAGCCTATTTTCTTTAAACAGCTGTTAACGTTTGCATGTACATGATTCTTACTCTTTTCTTGATATGGGATCTTGATTATTACGCATGCATGGCTTTTGTTTTTTGTTCAAGTGCTGGTTTTTCCCTATAGTGGTCGTAGGTAGTATAATACAGTTCTTGCAAGATTACTAATTACTCTAACTAGGCGAGTAGTCGAGCTGTATTAGATTCTCCCCTCCAAGTATTAATTTGCTGTTGTCGTTAATTGTAATTTGATGTGGTACTGGCACCTGACCTTATGCCACACGATCCATTCAAAAAAATACGGTAGGGCTACAGACAGTGTTCCCTCTAAGGTGTGCGCGCGCACACAGCTTTCAGAGGCTGCGCACACGCATAGATTTACTGCGCACAGACGTATTTCGATGTAATGTAACAATGTTCTCGATTGGCAGGTTGAGAAAGTTTGTTGTTGGCCCACCCATTACCCGGTTAGAACGCCAAAATTTCTTTATCGGTTTTCGCACAAATATTAGTCATTTCCAAAAAAGTGCGCACACACCAAAATTTCTGCGCACACATATTACAAAAAATTAGAGAGAACCTTGGCTACAGAGTACAGATACAAGCTGGCTACTGTCAGGCCTAATAGCATGAAAAAGTCGAAAAAATCGAAAGTCGAAACTCTAAAAAATCTTTTCAGGAACAAGACTCATTTAGTTTGCAACTATTGAAAATCAATTTTTCGAAGCGCGCTGATATATATATATAATTTTTATATGAAATTAGCTGTGTCATAAACGTGTTGATAGTTCGGAAGTAAATAATTATCAAACCTCAAGGCAAATAAATTTCTTGTTGACAGTTCATGACAAAACCACTCTGCACTTGCATTTTGGTATTTTTTGGGGGTATGTTGGACATCTATATTAATATAGTTTTGTTCCTGCAACTGCTAATCACTGTGGTAGCCTATTTTCTTTAAATAGCTGTTAACGTTTGCATGTGCATGATTCTTACTCTTTTCTTGATATGGGATCTTGATTATTACGCATGCATGGCTTTTGTTTTTTGTTCAAGTGCTGGTTTTTCCCTATGATGGTCGTAGGTAGTATAATACAGTTCTTGCATGATTACTAATTACTGTAACTAGGCGAGCAGTTGAGCTATATTAGATTCTCCCCTCCAAATATTAATTTTCTGTTGTTATTCATTGTAATTTGATGTGGTTTTTTATCTTTTATGTAAGCTATCATTTTGTATTTAGATAAGGTATTGCTGTGGAATGTACTTGATGTCCAAAGTTAAGATAGTGTGATAAGATTAAAACCAAGTGTTCTTGGCATGGTGTTATAACTTTTTCTGTGTCCCTAACAGCAGTTTTCAAATCATCTGTATATCAAATTAAACATTTATTGATCAATAACCTCCTCAATTTAATTGAACAATTTCTTAATCTTAAAATAATAGTCAAGTCAAGTTTATTTTTTCCAACCAGTAAAAAACATGCAAAAATATGAAGAAAAAATTCAAATTACTGGGGAAGGGAAGCCGCGGGGAACCAAAACTGGTTATCGAGCTGCGACACCCAAGGTTCTAACATCTAGTTTGACAGATCGGGGAGAAGAGTTTCAACGAATGCACAATGTTACGTTATATGCAATCGTTGAGGCATCTACTTGCAGATTTATTTGTCAGGCTGCTTCACAATGGTCAAATGAAGTCTACATAAAATTTTACAACAACTGTGATGAATCTTCCATGTTAATTTCAGAATGATCCTGTGGAATAACAACCTTTATTCTTATATCCTTATTCTTTTATAATCTTTGCTCACACCTTTGATAACCAATATATTCCCAAATCCTATCTCAGTACCTTACCGCCTCGATGTAATTATGTACTTATCTTTTACCGGTAGCGTAATAATTAGTACTTTATAGAATCTAGGGTAGATTCTGAGGTCTACTCTAGCTAGACTAAAGTTTAGCTGGATTTGGCTCTGATTGGTGAATGCAGTTGTCTAGTTCTAGCCCACTCCTCCCAATCTAGCTCCTAGTGTTCTCCTGTATCCAATTTTTGGTTGGGCAATTTGAATCTAATCATATCCAGCTTTTCGAAATCTTTTTTTTTTTCAAATTTTCTATATTGTTCACTCTTGATTATAAAATCGATATTCAATTTGGCAACCGTTATAGAATGATTAATATGGCGTGGCAAATAAATTTGATTTATTTTTTTCTAGTTTACTATGTACCGTCTCTCAGTGGCGGCCGTGGTCATTTTGACAACCGGGGCAAGCTACTGCGGGACCAAGTCACCCCCATCTACGGGGACAGGATGAGCGCTGTAAGTTCTCCCATCATTTTATGAGTATAAAAACCATTCCATCGGTAACAACCAATCGGCAAAAGCGACAATTTTTAACGATAAGAAAGTGTCTTCAAAACCGGTCCAAGTCAAGGGATTAATAAATATAGACATAGTTTATTTTGAAACCTCTTTCAGCAGGAAAGGCAATATTTACCCAAATAAATACAATGACATATTAACAGAAACTTCGGGAAAGCAGACAAAACCTAAAATAAGGTTTAAAACGTTACTATGAAGAAAGGAAAGGTAATGCAAAGATAAGGACATGCGTCGCTCACTCATAGATATATATGCTGCTAGACTTCTACTGCTTGAACATATATGCAACACGCCGCGGTTTCTTGGAAGCA